CTCTCTCTCTCCCTCTCTCTCTCTCTCTCCCCCCCTCTCTCTCTCTCTCTCTCTCATGTTGTCTTCTCATCACAGTTAACAATATAAAAAAGAAAGGACACTATTGCACACTGTTGTTTTATTCTTTGCTTCTCTGAAACAGTTGATATTTGCTTGGCAAAAGCCCTCAAGAAGGCAATGGTTTAAAAAAAATAAATGATTAGACATTATTCAAATGAGAACTGTATGCATAGATGTTTTCTTGTAGATTATGATATTGTGACATTGAAGGTGTTCACAAGAAAAAAAATATAGCTCTGATATTCATTATTCATGACTGCTGTGTCACTGCAGGTGAGCATGTGTGGCTTGTGCTGGATGGGCCTGTCGATGCCATTTGGATTGAAAATCTGAACTCTGTGCTTGATGACAACAAGACCTTGACCTTGGCCAATGGTGACAGAATCCCAATGGCCCCCAACTGCAAGATCATCTTTGAGCCACACAACATCGACAACGCCTCGCCTGCCACTGTCTCCCGTAATGGCATGGTGTACATGAGCAGCTCAGGTCTTGGCTGGCAACCAATTCTGCAGGTGTGTATCTTTTTTTAAATAACGTTTGTTCAGTCAAGCAAAACTATTGTTTCATTCTTTTGAGAGAGTTTTCAAGAGAGGCAAAACTGATATAACATTCGCTTCAGAAACAATTTTCAATCCTTGTTTTCATTATTTTTATTTGTTAAAAATCTGTTGTGTATGTTGTTCAAGCACAAATTACTGACATGTTTGATTCAGTGATTGTTTCTGATTTATAAAAGACATCTCCCTGACCAATATCATGGTACACTAGTTTAGCACCTGGCTAACAAAATACTTAGGCTATTCTTACATATTTTGTTATCCTTCTTCCACGCAGGGTTGGCTGAACCACAGACCTCTCAATGAAAGAGATGTCATCATGACTCTGTTTGAGGGTTCGTTCACTGACATGTGGAATTTTGCCCAGCAGAACTTGGAATTCAAAATGGAGATCCTTGAAGCCTTCATCATCTCACAGGTAGGTCCACAGTACTACCGTCTTTTAGTTTTAGTAAGAGTTTTATGGCACTTGCAACACAATAAGGTCATATAAGTGCCGAAGATTAGAGGTGTTACAAGAGAGTAACAAACACAAAATAGAAGGAGGAGGAGAGATCAGGACGATAGACGTTTGATAGGAAAGAAGAAGCAAACCACACCAGAGCACACGCCAACCACCCACTACCGTCTAGAATGCACATAGCGAAATCAGCGGGGCATGGAATCTCTTTGTAATGTACGAATTTTGCTATGTATGTGTTTCAAATACAAAGAGGATATATGCAGAAAAATTTGGAACTTGAAAATCTGTTTGATAGTTTGTGTTTCCCTGCTATGTGCATACTGCATTGTATGGCTTTTGAAACCCTTTCTGTATTTTAAGATTTTGTAAGAAGTTCTATGAATGCTCCCTTTATCCTATCTCAAGAGTGCCCCCAATTGGTATTCAAACCAGGTTCAAAGCTCAACAATTCAGCTTGATACCAGCTGAACTGGCACTGTAGCTAGAATAGGTTGACTCACCTTTTGTCTTCAATATGATCTGAGAATGTTTCTTGCTTTTTTATATCAACTTGAAAAATGTCCTTTATCTGTAATTTTGACCCATGTGTTTTTGCGGCATTCTTCTATAATGTACTATTGATGATGTGATCTCTCCTTTTAACTCATACCAGACTAACCAGATTTCTGTACTTTACTTTGTACTTCAGGCATGCAAGCTCATGTCTGGCCTGATCCCCTTGAAAGACGAGAAAGACGGCTCAGGTCACCTGACCCGCGAACACTATGAGCGCTTGTACATCTTCACTCTCATGTGGAGCATTGGAGCCTTCCTTGAACTGGATGACCGTGCCAAGATGGAGGAATTCCTGCGGAAACACGAGACCATCAGACTGGACTTACCACAGATCCCAGATGGCTTTGACGCCACCATGTTTGATTACATGGTGGATTCTGATGGTATGTGTTTAGCATTACATTTGTGGGATAAAAAATGTGTAAGATGGGATCTACTTTTGGCTGTGGATTGCATGGATGCTCTTATGGTAGACCAAAGAGTCTACATAACAAGAGGGGCCACTTCTCTCTTTGAACCAATTAAAAAAGTGTCCTCAAAATTCGGTGGCGTCCTCTTCGCAAAAGCGCACCTTTAGCAAACAGAGTTATCCTACTTGAGTTTAAAAAATCAAAGTGAAACTAGCAAGTTTTTGAATGAATTTCGGAAGAATGCTTTTTAAAAATGGTTACGCTGACAAAAAACCTCTTCCGGAGGAAAGGGTGATTGTTTTCTTAGTTTAATTTGACTTTAGAATGAAAGGCGAGAGGTCATTAAAATTTTAAAAACCTAAAACTCCGCACTGAACGAACCCGAACTGCTGATGAACAGCAGTCGATCTGCGCACGCAAGGAGGTGCTATTCCTCTTCTTCTGGAAAAACGAAAGAGAGCTTCAAAACAGACTGCAGCGCCATCTGAAGCAAAGAGCATACTTCCTGCGGACACTTTTTTGGCTGAGTGTCCCATCTTGTTATTTACTATCTTTGGTTAGACTCAGTGGTGGATACTGATGTGACTTACAAGGCTTTGAAAACCTGCTTTACACATTAGTGTTTTCTGACATCCCCGTAGTGGTGAGGTGCCTATTTGTTGTCTAGGTTCAGGGGGCATAATTGGAAATTTGATTTTTTAATTATTTTTTTTCAAGTAGGATGGAGGTCTAACCATCAACTTATTATAACTGTAGAGTGTGTAGAAAAAATAGTATGAGTTCTTTATAATGCAAAGTTTCTGAGTGTTCTCAGAGGGTCTGCTGGGGTAATAATAGTTGTAAAGTGCATAGAGCATGCTCTTGAGCATGGATATGCGCTATATAAATGCAATTATTATTATTATTATTTCTTGCAAATTTTTTCTTCGCTAGAAAAATCCTTTCTTCTTTACTATCCGTTGACTACTCACATGAAAAATGAAAGCAATCTTTATTATGAGTTTATAGAAGTCTCTTAGACACATAAAATGTAATGGAGTGATTTTCTCAGTGATTTAACTTTTTCCGGATGTAATTTTCATGGTCTTCTGTTTAAAAAGATGTAACTTCTGTTGCTGATCTGTCATTGATACATTACCTGGAAAGACTTAATTTTTATTCTAGCTAGTCTTAAGACATTAAAAAATTTTTGCTTTCAGGGAGCTGGGTGTACTGGGGAAAGAAGGTGACGGATTACGTGTACCCGACCGACCACGAGCCTGAGTACACCAGCATCTTGGTGCCCAATGTGGACAACGTGAGGACAGAGTTCCTCATCAACACTATTTCCAAACAGAGCAAGGTGAGAGAGGAAGAGGGAGGGTGGGAGAGAGAGAGGGAGAGAGAGAGAGAGAGAGAGAGAGAGACAGAGAGAGAAAGAGAGAAAGAGAGAGAGAGAGGAGGAGAGGGGGGAGAGTGAGAGTAAGAGCGAGAGAAAAAGAGAGAGAGAGAGGGGGGGAGAGATCGCAATTAGGAAGAAAGAGTGAGACTTAATCTATATTCCTGAAGTTTTTGATGCAACAACACCTCAAAACGGGCTGTAGTTTCTCATTTAAAAGACAATAATTTGCTTTTTCTTTCACAAACATTATTTTGTTTTTCTGTCGCTAGGCTGTGTTGCTGATTGGTGAACAAGGAACTGCCAAGACTGTCATGATCAACAACTACATGGGACAATACAACCCAGAATTCCATGTAGCCCAGTCGGTCAATTTCTCCTCTGCCACGACACCATACATGTTCCAGGTACGGGAGAAAATGTTGTAACTCTGATATTGTAAGAGGAAAGAGGATTAAGAATAAAGGACAGAAAAGGAGAGAGTGACGGAGGGAGAGAAAGAGAGAGAGAGAGAGAGGGAGAGAGAGGGAGAGAGAGAGAGAGAGAGAGGGGGGGAGGGAGGGAGGACAAAAAGACAGAAAAGTTGTTGTGAAGTGGAAGAAATGGGAACTGAGTATCAAAATCTGTTGAGAAAAATAAAAGAGCTAAGATGTATTTCTAAAAAAAAGTTTTCTTTCTTTAATTAAGTAGTGATGCATTGCTTTAGGCCCCCTATAAAATCACACAAATGTCCTCTAAAAAAGTATGAACTCTGTGTGACAACAGCTAGACAAATTATTGTTGTGCTGCCCTCTGTGATGAATTTACGCAAACCTTTCAACTCTAAGTTTATCTTACCCTGTCTTATCGTATGTGGTCTCAGATTACCTTTCCTTATCTCCTCTTGTCTTATCTTATTTCAGCTCTGTTCACTCTTATTTCAACAGATCTCTACTCACTGTCATGTCATCTTACATTTTTCTAATGCATTGGACAGAAGGGTGAGAGCCCAGTTGTTGCTGGATCGATAACAACAACAACAACAACAACACTTTTCTCATATCACTCCACCAGCGTTGTGGTCCAGCTCTTAGGCTGTGTGCTGTGGCACTCAGAAGATGTGAAATTGGTTTCCAGATGGAAATTTAAAAAAAAAAAAAAATCAAATTGAGTACCTCCGACTGTCTGTAGGGAAATTTTTTTAAAACAAAATCAAATTGAGTACCTCCGTCTGTCTGTAAGGAAATTTTTTAAAAACAAAATCAAATTGAGTACCTCCGTCTGTAAGGAAATAAAAAAAAAAAAAAATCAATTTGAGTACCTCCATCTGTCTGTAAGGAAATTTTTAAAAAACAAAATCAAATTGAGTACCTCCGTCTGTCTGTAAGGATACTGTATCCTGCTCAGCCCAGATTGGCGCTGGATGGCAGGATCAAAATGTGCCATCTCCCTCCCTAAAGATCTAAATTGTGTTGGTGAGACTGTAAAACACTTACAATTCATAATATTACTTTTATTATCTCAGAGGACCATTGAGAGCTATGTGGACAAGAGGGTGGGCTCCACATACGGGCCCCCAGCTGGCAAGAAAGCTACAGTGTTCATTGATGATATCAACATGCCAGTGATCAACGAATGGAAGGATCAGATCGCCAATGAGATTGTCCGACAGCTGATGGAGAACCATGGCTTCTACAGCTTGGAGAAGCCTGGAGACTTCACCACCATTGTGGACATGCAGGTCAAAATAGAGACTGTGAATCATTTAGTGGGAGAACATTGATAAAATGAGAGAATAAATGGGAGGCAGCGTGGTGGAATCAGGCTCTCGTCAAAATAATCAAAGTGAAGAAACTTACATTTTTCCACAGGTTTGTGAATTTTTATCAAATTTTTGTTTTTTGGCTCAACATCTTCATGCCCATTAAATAACTAATTTCTGTGTTTATTTTTCTGAAAAACGTTGATTAAAGGCACCAAAAAATGTAAATTTTCGGTTACCACGGACTCTTAAGCTAAGGAAATAACTAATCTTTGGCGGCCATTTTCTCACTAAGTTTACCCCTGAAAACAGGTTACCCCCACCTCCTTCTTTCGCAAATATCTCGACTTGTATTCAAGATAAATGGATAATTTTTTCATCCAAATAAAGACAAGTGAACAAGCTTTAAGTTAATTTCAATAACTCTACATGCCCAAAAATTGATGAGAGCCTGATTCCACCACGCTGCCTCACAAATGGCATCAATTAGCTTGTGTAGTAAAACAGCAATAACGTAGTCCCACTTGTATTTGTACGTGTGGGACACATTTTTTAGCCTGTGTTTACGATTCTTTTTCTTATTTTGTGCTGCATGGCATTGGAGTTTATATCCTTGCTTTTATATTTTCCTGTGTGTAATGTTTATATGTAAGCCTGCTGGCTTAGTGTGATCTTGTTTCAGGTGAATGTGTGCTCTGCCATCAGACACTTGAAGTCTATCACCTTTACAATAAATAATAATAATTGCATTTATATAGCGCATATCCATGCTCAAGAGCTTGCTCTATGCGCTCTACAACTATTATTACCCCAGCAGACCCTCTGAGAACACTTAGAAACATTCTCAGCTTCCGCGGAAGCATACAGTGCAAGCTGCGGATTTCACGCGCTCAAACACTATCAAACTGACAAGATCTTTACTGTCAGAGGCTAGATGTACATTGATAAACATTTTAAATGTTGGCTACTTAGTTGTTGGCGGGAAAGAAGCCTCCTCTCACATGTTTTTTTGAGGTAATAGAGGGCATTCTAATGCTGTGTACAGAAGAAGTGTTATAGCTTAAATGCAGGTATTAGCAATCACGTTGACTTTTTAGGGCCTGTTGAAAACACTGTAACTCATTCCATGCCAACCGTCTGTGTTTATGCAATTTCCTGCTGTGCTGATCATCTATATATATGTAGGCATTATCTCAAATGAAGTTGAATCAGCTTCTCACTGAATTTGTTAATGCTCACAGGTGACTTTTGTCCCATCTATTAATCCCCATTTTGGATGTGATTTTGTTAGTCCCCATCCTTTTCTGATGAATATTATGTATATGACATGTGACACTTGTCATGAAAGATACATAAGAGAAGCACATTTTTTTTCATCCCCATGTATAATATAAGAATAAATTTCCAACTTTTGTGGCAAGACTGTATAAATCCCCCTGGAGGAATGAGTTGATCAGGCCCTTTACTTTAACCTCCGCCAAATCCACTTCATCTATACACAGTGGAATAAAGACAAAATATTGAAAATCCTTTTCAGGCAAAGGGAAGTACAGGAAAAGGGATCCTGATAACACATTGTGTATGTCCAAATTAAAGTCAAAGTTCAGCGCTAAGGTATGGATTAAATGCTTAATAAATTTTACTTGTAATTGTCATCTTAAGTAAATTATTGCATCTTCTTTTATTTTTCCAGTTCCTGGCTGCCATGATCCAGCCTGGAGGTGGCAGAAATGACATTCCTCAGCGTCTGAAGCGTCAGTTTGCCATTTTCAACTGCACCCTTCCCTCCAACCCATCCATTGACAAGATCTTCAGTGTGATTGGCTCAGGACACTACTGCAAGGAGAGAGGTTTCTCTGATGACGTGGTGGCAATGGTCACCAGTCTGGTGCCTATCACCAGAAGGTTATGGCAGCTTACCAAGGTCAGTATTGAGCTGAAGTTTAAGTTAAGCGAGCCAATCACAATCCAACATTTTGGGGTCCACCTAGACACCATGACTACGTAGACCCCAATCGGGGAGTACGTAGACACTTCCTTGATTTTAACGTTGTTGTTGTTGCTGCTGCTGCTGTTGTAATCAGTCCTGTGGCAGCTAAGCTATGGTATTTGTGCCTGATAAAGTTCGATTCTCTATTTAAGTGCTTTAGTCTTGTATTTTCTCTGCTCTTCTGTAATAGCTTCATTGTGCTTCACTGTAATTATTTTGTTCTGGTTTGGAAAGTCCACATAATGTAAGGCCTAAAACAGATCACTAGCCAAATTGCAGACATTCACTTTTTAATAAATGTGAGGCATCGTGGTGGAATCAGTCTCTCGTCAATTTTTGGGCATGTAGAGTTATTGGTATCATCTTAAAGCTTATTCACTTGCCTTTATTTTGATGAAAATAATTATCCATTTATCTTGAATACAAGTCGAGATATTTGCGAATGAAGGAGGTGAGCGTCACCCGTTTTCAGAGGTAAAATTAGTGAGAAAATGGCCGCCAAAGATTAGTTATTTCCTTAGCTTAAGAGTCCGTGGTAACTGAAAATTTTCATTTTTTGTGCCTTTAATCAAAGTTTTTCAGAAAAACCCACACAGAAATGAGTTCTTTAATGGGCATGAAAGGTGTTGAGCCAAAAAACAAAAATTTGATAAAAATTCACAAACCTGTGGAAAAATGCAAGTTTCTTCACTTTGATTATTTTGATGAGAGCCTGATTCCACCACGCTGCCTCACATATGTCTTGTTCATTAGACTGTAATAGTGGCTGTCCCATTACACTTTTTAGAATTATATGTATTCATGATGCAGGACAAACTTGAGAGAAAAGCGACTGTGAAATGGTTTTGAAGTCCCCGCCAGTGATTCATAGCTTTTGTTTTTAAAGGTCTCAGCTTGCATATTTTGCATGTTGATAGGGCTGCTTATTTCCTTTTTTTGGGACCTTTTTATTGTTTTTCAGTTTCATGTCTGTTTCAGCCAAAACTTGCCTCTAACCAGCATAAAGTAGTAGTCACTTATTTAATAGTTATCTGAATGCTCTCTCGAAGACCTTGCTTTCTGTTTCAACTTTAGTTAACATTTGTTCCTTGATTTTTTATTTGCATCAAACTAGATCAAAATGCTTCCAACTCCGGCCAAGTTCCACTACATCTTCAACTTGAGAGATTTGTCTCGCATATGGCAAGGCATGCTGAACACCCAGAGCTCTGTGATCTCCGACGTCAAGCTCCTGATGGGACTGTGGAAACACGAGTGTTGTCGTGTCATTGCTGACAGGTGAACCTCTCTTTCATCTTTTCCTCTCTATTTACTTTGGGTTGAGTTTTTTTCTGTTGAACATTGTGAAAAATATACTGTTTTTTCATTTGAGGTATTATTCATCCAAAAGCAAAGTAAAGCCTAAAAGTAAGATCAGCGCAAGCAGCATCTGTGGCTTAATCTTAAGGTCCAACTCCTAAATTATCTACAGTAAGTGTATTGAGGATTAAAGTATAAACAATCACTTATCATGAAGGTCAGCACTTAATGCTGATGACAGTCATTTTTTTTAATACATGAAAAAAGCTATTATTTGGAACTTGGTGTTTTTATTTGATTGAATTTGTGCTGTTTCAAATTTTAATATTCAGGAGAAAATTGAAAGTTGCAATTTGAAGCTTGAAAACAGATTGGTTTTTTTTCCAGTGTATTTTTGAGCTGGAACCCAAAGTGTCTAACATTGGCACTGCTAGCACTCAGGATATAGACTTGTCTTATCACAAACCTTTTTCTTAATATGATTTTTGTGTGTATATTTCAGAATTGCATTATGTCTGCTGTTATGAATTTTGTCTCACTCAACTTTGTGCTTTTTTTACCTCACAGACCTCTGCAGCTGTTGTTGTATGTGCAAGACCATTTGACTTTGACTGAAATGTCTTCAGTGTGGAAGTCACTTAATTAGATCTCTCCTGATCAAAAGCTCTATGCTTTATGTTGTTGCTAATAGTGATAACAGGTTGAGAGACGCAGAATGTGTAGGAGAAGATTTATGCCCATCTCTTACACATCGTTTTGTTGCTAATAGTGATAACAGGTTGAGAGATGCAGAATGTGTAGGAGAAGATTTATGCCCATCTCTTACACATCGTTTTGTTGCTAATAGTGATAACAGGTTGAGAGACGCAGAATGTGTAGGAGAAGATTTATGCCCATCTCTTACACATCGTTTTTTGCACCTGAATGGTGGCTGGGCACTGTCATACTGTTGGTGAATAATAGAACTAATTTATTATATGTGTATGTGAAGGTAAGATCCTTTAACTTTGCAAGTGAATGTGAAAACAAACCTATGACCACACAGCAGTTCATTGGTCAACACACGCCGCTCTTTTTTTCAGGCATTAAAGCATAGGAGAAATTTTGATTTGGTTAACTGTCTTTATTCTCTCGTACTGATGCTAAATTTAACAGGTTCACAAGCCGAGAGGATGGCACGTGGTTCACAAAATCGATGAGTCGTGTGATGCAGGAGGAATGTGGAGAAGCTATAACAACTTATTTAGACCCAGTCCATCTGTTTGTAGACTTTATGAGGTATTTCTTGAGCAAAGATAAGCAGCACATTGTGTGTGTGACAGCCCACAGATGCACACTTGAAGGGTGCTGACGTTTTGCAGTCCAGTGTCCAGCACTATTGCACATGGAATGCTGTGGTGACTTCACTCTCGAATTGTTCCACATTTCTATTTCTGCAAGTGGTGAAAGTTTTTAGCTGGGCGCACATTTTTTTTCACTTCTTACTGCCCCCACCCTGTCAATCTTTTCTGAAGTTGTTTCTTCTCTTCTCAAATTTTCATGTAGAAAATAGTTGATGAAGTGCAGGGAAAACCACAAGAGGCAGACCTTTTTGGTGACAAGACTAGCTGTTGTTCTCCACACTTAATAATTTATGTTTTGTCCAAGATTTATTATGTCAAAACTAACCCATTCACTATCTTGCATGAAACTGCTGTCGACCTTTGTAGAGCTCAAAACTCTGCCAGGTTTTAGATGGAAGATTAGCACAATTGTGATTTAAACTTTTTGACATAAATAGAATGATTTCATGTCTTTTTTTAAAATGTTTTTTTTGGTAATCTTCTTCTGAAATTTCATCAACTTTCAATAACAAAAACCTCTATAATTTCAAAGTTAGTAACTTCGCGGCCTTTCTCATGCTGGGTAGTGATGAAGTTAGAGTTAGATATTCCTCTGTGTATATCGTTGCTTAACTCTTGATTGCCAGCGACCAGTTGTTTTGTTTTCAGACTCAGCTGTAGATGAGCCGAACTCTCACTGGACAAGACACTGTCTTGTTCCCTTGCACCCTATGACTGTGTAATGTATTGTCCATCACTGCTTGGTCACTCACTGCGTTGTTTGTTTGTCTTGCTGTGGTGCACACACATTTGACTAACAGGTTCGTGCGTTATGAAGACCTGCAGTGGTTTGAGAAAACGGTCAAGCGTATTGTGACAGAGGAGGTCAGTGAGGATGCCGGAGAGATGGTCATCAACAACATGATATTCACTGACTTCATGAGGTGGGCAAGGCTGTGTTGTTTTTTATGCAGCTATGGTAATACAACTCACTGTCTTTTCTGAGACAAGGCAAAAACAGGTTAAAGCCATGTCATAATCATTTAAAAGTGAGGAAACCCATAGCTGTGTTTTACTATTGTTCGGTTTGTGGGGGCAAACAGTTTTAGAGAAAATGAAGAAACATATGCTTGAAAGGGCTCTTTATTTTATTTTTGTCCTCTAGTACAATGTTACGGAAAAATGACTACTGATTAAAAGAAAGGTACTGTTTAAATACCAATATGTTACGTTACTGTTACAACAGCTATTGTGCAATGTACATTATTCCTGTGGTGTATTAAGTCTTAAGTACACAGAGATGAGAGAATTAGTTAAGAAGGCAAAAGCTGTGATCAGGTTTGTCTTTATTCTTGTGCAGTCGTACAATAGTGGTCAGGTAACATTTGCGTTTTTAGCGGCTTTTCGGCAATATGCCAGAGTGGACTATTGGGGCCAAAATTAGATTACATCACACAATTCCACAGTGTTGTTCTTATGTGACAATGCTACTACAACTTACTGTCTTCTCCGAGACAATGAAAAAATAGTTTTATACCACTTCATGAGATTGTACTGTGAAAATCCTTGGGTACATTCTTTTATTAAGTATAAGTAGCAACAACTATTTCTTACGTAAAAAACAGTTAATTTACACTGCATTTCAAACAGTGCTGATTAAAAGTCTACCTGAAAAAGGGATTCAAGTTATGAATGATTTTTATTTTTGAAGAAGGAGATGGGGGTTTCCATAATAATGCATTTATTAATAAACGACAGAGAAAATAAAGCATGCAGTGTTTGAAAACTCTTCTTCAGTGAAAAGAACCTGCTTTCTTTTTATAGCAGTTACACCTTATCCTTCTGTGTGTAAATTTTGAAAATAAATATAAGCACTGGCTCTGGCATTCTATTGCATTTTCTCTTGGTGCATCCTTCATCAGTGTCTTTTTTGTGAGGCCTTTTGAGAAAATATTGCTATTTAGAATCTATATTTCATGGAACTGAATAAGTATGGATCCTCACGAGTTTGAGGTGGACCGGTAAATAAAACTTTTTTTTGTAAGTTAAGAGTAAGCTTATAGTGGGTAACGACGCTTGTTCGTTTGTGAAATGTTGGTAGGATAGATTAAGCTTCCAAAAGGGGAATGGAGCATTTTGTTGGATAAATGAAGCTTGATTTTATAGTGGGTAAATAGTGTTGTAGTTTTGTGAATGAAGCTTGTGATTAGGGAATATAGCTCATCTTGATAGGTGGTTGGGGGATGCTCTGGTGTGATTTGCTCCTTTATTCTCAAACAACTTTCATCCTTATCTCTCCTTCTTTTTGTGTTTGTTAACTTTCTTGTAACACCTCTAATCTTTGGCAATTATATGACCTAATTGGGTTGGAAGTGCCGAAAAACACTTATGAAAACACACAAAAATCTGATCTTAGTAGGTAAATGAAGCTTTAAATTCTAAAATACATCATTTATTATGTTTGCAGAGATGCCCCAGAAGCCACAGGAGAGGAGCCTGAGGATGCTGACTTTGACATGCCCAAAATCTATGAGCCCGTGAGTTCTATGTTTGAGTCCCAGTTCAACTACTTTCTCAATATAATAGAAGCCACAAGTGATAATGTTTATGCTTGAACTTATCCCCCAAAAAATCTCTTTGAAAATTAGGATATTTTTAAGCTTCTGAACATGAATTGGTGTGTTTTGATTGAATGTAGTACCCTTATTCCTTCTTAAATCTATTTATTCATCTTTGGTTGTGCTTATTCACTTGTTCTTCATCCATGATCTTTCTTTCTTTCTTTCTGTTCCTTTGTCTTCAGTCTGACATCTTTCATCCCTCCTGTTCTTTCAACCTTCTTCAGCAGGTGGTTGGAGGGCACCACTGGGAGGTCTTACTTTAAACTGTCTCATTAGTGATCTGTCTGTCTCTTTTTTTCTCTTCATGAAATAACCATTATTGTCTTGATGTGCTTCTCTTTACTCAAACAAACAAAAAAACCCAAACAAACAACCTCTGGTGTGGCTTGCTTTTTTTTTCCCTATCAAACATCTGTTATGATGTTATGTATTCTTCATATTTGATCAAAGTCAGATGAGCACAAGACGATAATAAACATTCAGCCATATTGATTTCATAGGGAAGGGAAGTGTTTATTTTCGTATCGAACATCTTCACTATATTCAAGTATAAGTATCGAATATCATGACAACATCTATCGTCCTTTTCTCCCCTTCTTCTTTTTTATGTTTTTAACACCTCTAATGTTTAGGCGCTCATATGACCTTCTGCAGTTGCGAGCGCCGTAAAACCTCTACTAAAACTAAACTAAAACAAGCTTTTCTTGCTTCGTGATCACAGATTGAGAGTTTCCACCAGCTGGAGGAGAGGCTGTCCATGTTCCTGCAACAGTACAACGACAGCATTCGTGGAGCTGGCATGGACCTGGTCTTCTTCAAGGACGCCATGACTCACCTGGTCAAGGTCTCACGCATCATCCGCACCCCACGGGGCCACGCCCTCTTGGTGGGAGTCGGAGGTTCAGGGAAACAGTCGCTGACAAGACTGGCCTCCTTCATTGCTGGCTACAAGACTTTCCAGATCACACTTACCAGGTCTGTAACGGAGATGGTTTTGCTTATGACCAGTCAGAAATAATTCTCCTCAGGATTTCTCTTGAATTGCAATTTCTTGTCTGTGTGAAAAAATTGACAAATTTCAAAGTTCTGTGTAGTATTTTGCTGCAATTTGAGTATAAGGGCATTGTGCTTTTGTTTAGGGGTGGAATATATTTGTGAGGCAGCGTGGTGGAATCAGGCGCTTGTCAAAATAATCAAAGTGAAGAAACTTGCATTTTTCCGCAGGTTTGTGAATTTTTATCAAATTTTTATTTTTTGGCTCAAGACTCGTCATGCCTATTGAAGAACTCATTTTTGTGAGGATTTTTCAGAAAAACGTTGATTAAAGGCACAAAAAATGTAAATTTTCAGTTACCACTGACTCTTAAGCTAAGGAAATAACTAATCTTTGACGGCCATTTTCATGCTAATTTTACTTCTGAAAACGGGTGACCCCCACCTTTTTCATTCACAAATATCTCGACTTGTATTCAAGATAAATGGATATTTTTTTTCATTCAAATAAAGACAAGTGAACAAGCTTTAAGATGATACCAATAACTCTCCATGCCCAAAAACTGACAAGAGCCTGATTCCACCACGCTGCCTCACAAATCATGAAAAAAAAATAGAGATCAGGAAGCTTCAGAAAAACTGACATGAGTAGAAAGTGGTAAAAAGTATGTGTCTGTCACTAACTCCAGCATATATATATCTATCTGATCCAAATACTCTTGAATAGTTTATATTTTCATCAAGATATAATTAACTGCTATTCTTTCTTCACCCCTTATGTCCCCTTATGTTTTAAAATGCAGAAGTATATAATTTCAACAAGAGATTTGTCTCAAACTTTATTCACATTGTGCTCATCTCTTCTGTTGCTCAGATCATACAATGTGTCGAACCTTTTGGAAGACCTGAAGTTCTTGTACAGAACAGCTGGGCAGCAAGGCAAAGGTATCACCTTCATCTTTACTGACCAGGAGATCAAGGATGAAGGATTTCTGGAGTATCTCAACAACATGCTCTCCTCTGGAGTGGTCAGTGTTTCTTCCTTTGAAATTTGGTTGGAATTACACTACTAGGCATTATTTTTAAGTCAGTACTTTTTCTTTTTTGTTCATCATCATAATATCATCATCATCATCATCATCATCATCATCATCATCATCATCATCACATGTTTGAATGTCCAGGAACAATGGCAATTCGAATAGAGTTATTTGGACGAGTGGAGGTGCCGCTAAGCATATTGACAATGGAGCCGAAAAAGAGCCTCGCTCTCACTCGAAGATTTCTTCTTGAAGTCCGTCAGGTCCATTAAGGAAACGAAAAATCATCATCATCATCATCATCATCATCATCATCATCATCATCATCATCATCATCAATCCCTTAGTATCACAGATAACGTTCTACCCGTCTCATTCCTCTCCTTTTGAGAGCTGGACTTTCTCATAGCCCCATATTGTCGTATACCTGTCCACCCTGAGATGTTGTCCTCTCATTTTTGTCTGCCTTCCTCTCCTCCTGCATCCTTGTACTGTGCCCACATCACAGTAGTCTTTGATTACCCATGTAATCTTGCAATGTCTCTTCTGTTATCTATTTGTGGTGGCCGAATTTTGCTATTCAAAAGGCTTTTTAATGGCAGCATCGATCGACATGCGGTTTTCGCCAGAAGATTCTTTAAAATATTCTCCAGAGCATGCCGCCCTTCGTTTTTTCAGTTTTGCTGCAAAAAGCTACATTTCTTTATTTTGCCGATCGCTTTTGTAGGCCGACGCTTCTGTCACTGTAATTTTAGAAAATCCGGAAGTGACATTTCGCGAGGCGCATTTTGTTTTGAGAGTATAGATCTAGACCTTATAATTTTTTGCATCTCTCAAGATTTATTGCCCCATTCCAGTAGAGTGTAAATATAGTAGGCCAATGACTTTTAGTTGATATTAAAGCACCGGCCTAGACGGTCAGAGAACGGTTAGTATAAGAACGTATAGGCACCGCCGATCATTCCTTTCATCGAAAGGGGGCCCAGCCAGTTTCTAATATATGTATAATTGTTCCAGGTGTATAAATCATTTAAGCCAGTTTCTAATATATGTATAATTGTTCCAGGTGTATAAATCATTTAAGCCAGTTTCTAATGTATGTATAATTGTTCCAGGTGTATAAATCATTTAAGCCAGTTTCTGATATATGTATAATTGTTCCAGGTGTATAAATCATTTAAGCCAGTTTCTGATATATGTATAATTGTTCCAGGTGTATAAATCATTTAAGCCAGTTTCTGATATATGTATAATTGTTCCAGGTGTATAAATCATTTAAGCCAGTTTCTGATATATGTATAATTGTTCCAGGTGTATAAATCATTTAAGCCAGTTTCTGATATATGTATAATTGTTCCAGGTGTATAAAGTGATTATAGATAGATTTTTGAGATTTGAAAAGGAAGCTCTATAGGATCACTATGAAATGCTATCAGTGGATTGATTGATCATCATCTCATGTTTCTGACCTTTATATTATATTGCTTATTCTTCTTCTCATTTTTTTTTAAACCTCACAGGTGTCCAACTTGTTTGCAAGAGATGAGATGGATGAGATTCTGGGAGAATTGGTACCGATAATGAAGAAAGAGCATCCCCGCAGACCCCCCAGCAATGAGAACCTGTATGAGTACTACCTCTCACGTGTCAGGGCAAATCTTCACGTGTCCCTTTGCTTCTCTCCGGTAGGAAAAACTCGAGTCCTGAACTCATTACTTTCTTTTAATTAACAAATTCCACTTTGGTTTATTTTCAATCTACATTTAAAAAAAAATAATTATCCAGCACAATGAAGTCACTAATAATTATCATAATATTTATAAATTGTGTTTGTCATTAAAAAGTATTTACTCTGAATTTGGTTTTCAAAGAATATATACTAAGTTTTAGTTCTTTGGAACCGACTTCAGCTCTTACTAAAGTAAAGTGGAACCAGCTCTAACTGTCACCTGTCCAAGAAAATCACCTGTGTAATGGCCCTTCCCATTTCTTGCCTTGTGTTTCTTCTTCTTTATACTGACATTGTCAAAGACGTCCACCTGCTTAAGACATCCACTTTTATCCTTGACAATGGGTGGTCATCTTGGATAGTTTTCACTGGAGTATTTAGAAGAGAGTAGCACTGTAAGAGAGTAACACTGTAAGGAGTATTTAGAAGACAGTAACACTGTAAGGAGTATTTAGAAGAGAGTAACACTGTAAGGAGTATTAAGAAGAGAGTGACACTGTAAGGAGTATTTAGAAGAGAGTAACACTGTAAGGAGTATTTAGAAGACAGTAACACTGTAAGGAGTATTTAGAAGACAGTAACACTGTAAGGAGTATTTAGAAGACAGTAACACTGTAAGGAGTATTTAGAAGACAGTAACACTGTAAGGAGTATTTAGAAGAGAGTAACACTGTAAGGAGTATTTAGAAGAGAGTAACACTGTAAGGAGTATTTAGAAGACAGTAACACTGTAAGGAGTATTTAGAAGACAGTAACACTGTAAGGAGTATTTAGAAGAGAGTAACACTGTAAGGAGTATTTAGAAAACAGTAACACTGTAAAACGTTTCTCTTGTCGTAGGTGGGTGAGAAATTCCGACAGAGGGCACTGAAGTTCCCTGGGCTCATCTCGGGCTGCACCATGGACTGGTTCCAGCGGTGGCCGAAAGATGCCCTGATTGCTGTGGCGGATCACTTCCTGTCTGACTTTGAGATTGTGTGCAGTGAGGAGGTGAAGAAACAGGTCATCCACACGATGGGCATCATTCACGATGGGGTGGCCGAGAGCTGCACTGACTATTTCCAGAGGTACTGGCTCTGTTTAGTTGTACCTTATGGATGGAAGTTTGGTCTCTTAGTTTCAGTTTCATTCAGGTGTTACGGAAAATATTCATCAAGGAGAGACAATAGAAATGCCACTTTGTAGAGAAAAACTGTAAAATGTTTTGGTAAATATTTTACGGCGCCTGGAACTGCATGAGGTCGTATGAGCGCTTGTAAAATGTAATTTGTAGTTTTACCACATTTATTATTTAAAGAAAATACATATTACTTTGAGGCATTGTTTGGCAAGTGTGATGTTTGTGATCAATATCAGTTGATTGCTATTATTTCCTTTACCTTTTCTCTCTTTACTATGCTCGTTGCCTGCAGTAGTTACCACTGTCTATAACTTCTCTTCCACCTTGAATGTTAAAGATCATCATTATTTTATGGCGGGCAAACTATTATTATTTATCTGTTTATTAATTTTAGGAAATAAAAAAACGGTGTAGAAACAAAAAGTGCATTTGTAAAGATTTGACATGCATGGTTTATTGTAAAAGAAACATAGATGATGAATGAGTCCACTGTTTGTGATTTTGTGTCTTGTCATTGTCTTTTGCACTTTGTTTGCAAGCAAAGTGTTGTGTATTTATTTGATGAGAGAATGTGTACACTTTTTGAAAGTTAATTGGAATGGGAGGGTGATTATGTTCTCAGTAATCATTCTTTACCATAAACTGAAATTGTATCAGACATAAATTTTGTAGGCTACAGAAACCATTTTTACATTCCTTACTCCTTCACATCTAAATAGTTACTTAAATGTTTGCCTCCACAACCAGGTATCGTCGGGCAACTCATGTGACCCCCAAGTCATACCTCTCCTTCATCAATGGCTACAAGACCGTGTACTCTGAAAAGAAGACCATGATTGGCGAGCTAGCCAACAGAATGAACACAGGTATGGCGCTCAGAAAATGTTTACTCTTTAAATTTAGATTTAGAACTGGAGATTCTATTGCTCAACAGAATGGGTGTCAGCAACTGACCTTACAAAAGTTTACTCTCATTTACCAGTTCTATAATTTTTTAATTTTTGAAGGAGATACCTCAGTTCAAAATGCCTTGTTTCTAATTTATTTCTTTAAAATATTCCTTTTGCCAAAAGTATCTGTTTTCTTTGTTCTTGACTTGAATGATAATAATAGACAAAAACAGGTCACAACAGGATTTGAGGAAAAGAATAATTTTATGATAAATGGGTGACCATTGTGAAAGGATAAAGAGTAAAGTGGGGCTACATGGTTTATTGGTAGTGTAGAGAAAACATTTTGTGCGACAAGCTAGAATTCTCTTTAGAAGTTGTTGTAAAATTTGACCATAACAGATCTAAGTTTCTTTGAATACACATCTGTTGAAATTCCATAGTTTGGAAGGGGCTTTAGATACTTGCTCGGTTTTGTTTAGAAACAATGTTAATTTGAAAACTGGAATTTGCCTTCATGTTAATTAAGGTTGAAAATGTAGATAAATCAGGCTTCCTCTTGGTTGAATGGCTCAGGTAAATCAGGCTCATAACACTTCTCATTCTCATTCATGTGATCTGTTCATGCAGATCTCTGCTTACAGACAAAGCCAATGTTGTAAAGATAGAAGCTGTGCTATATCGTGTTACAGTCGAAATTGACATGTTTTAGCTCTTTTATATCGTGTTACAGTCGAAATGAAATAACACGTTTTAGGTCTTTTATATCGTGTTACAGTCGAAATCAAATAACATGTTTTAGCTCTTTTATATCGTGTTACAGTCGAAATCAAATAACATGTTTTAACTCTTTTATATCATGTTATACGGGGTGCCCACTACAGCTGGATCGGGCCGATCGCCCGACTGGATCGCCTGAAACTGAAAACAAACACGTTTGTTTTTGAGGCGATCGAGTCGGGCAATCGGCCCGATCGGCCGATCCCGTCCGTAGTGAGCACCCCGTATTACAGTCGAAATCAAATAACATGTTTTTACCTCAGGTTTGGAAAAGCTGGTGGAGGCCTCCCAGGCTGTGGCAGAGCTGAGCAAGGAGCTGGCTGTCAAGGAGAAGGAACTGGCCATTGCTTCCGAGAAAGCAGAGGCTGTACTCAAGCAGGTTACCATTCAGGTGAGAGAAGTAGAGAACTGTCAAGTTAAAATATTACATCTGTTCTTTACTCTGACTTGTTATTGCTTTGTAGCCCTTAATGTTGAATGTGCTCTGGAAATTGAAACAAGTTTTAGCTCTGAGAACTTTGTAAGCTCAAAAGGCACTCCACTTGTGTATTGGCAATAAAACCTCTAAAATCTAAAGCCGATTGTTACAGTAATTTGTCTTTTGAAAACAATTTAAAGAATGTATGACAGGAGAAGTTACCTTTTTGAACGGCCTTAAATACAAGGTCTGTTATGTTTGGAAACACTAGATTGCAGTTAAAATTGAGAGCATCAAAGGTAAGTAGGCTATAAAACAATTTATTAGAAGTCTTGAATTTGTGTCCTATCATGTGTTCTTTATAATTGTAGTTTTAAAAAATAATTGGCAAAAATATTTGACAGCTGCACTTTGCAGTGCAGAGTTTGCTTCCTGAAAGAGTTGCAAACCTCTCCCCATGATCAAGCCTCACAGGAGATGGATCATACACTGGTTATTTTTTAAAACATTTCAATTCAAATGCTCCAAAATCTTGAATGACTCAAATACGGTTTCTAGCATCACAGAGTGATTTTCTTTGCAAGAATCATGATACAAAACTTTAAGACATATGAGCTGAAAGTTGAAAGGTCTCGTGGGTCTTTGAAATTTATATCGTCCCCTTTTCTCATACGCAGGCTCAAGCTGCTGAGAAAGTGAAGAACCAGGTGCAGAAGGTGAAGGACAAAGCTCAGAGCATTGTGGACAACATCGCCACAGACAAGGCCATCGCCATGGAAAAGCTGGAGGCGGCTCGCCCGGCCCTGGAGGAGGCTGAGGCTGCCCTGAACACCATCAAGCCGGCTCACATTGCCACTGTCAGACGTCTGGGCAAACCTCCACATCTCATCATGAGGATCATGGACTGTGTGCTCATTTTGTTCAGGTACAGGAAGATATTTAGTGCGTTCATCATTCTGTATTTCTGTTTTTCCTGCCCGTATTTTTCCTTGTTTGCCTTTCATGTGGAGGTGGGAGGGAAGGTGGGAGGGAAGGTGGGAGGGAGGGTGAGGGAAGGTGGGAGGGAAGGTGGGAGGGAGGGTGGGAGGGAAGGTGGGAGGGAGGGTGGGAGGGAAGGAGGGAGGGAGGGAGGGTGGGAGGGAAGATGGGAGGGAGTGTTGTTCAGAACTTTTTGTATCCATTCAGTTTTACTATTGTTCTTATGTCTGCTCCCACTAATATGTGGTGGCCATCTTGTCATGATCACTCAAGTTGGACCACTATTTAACATGAGCATATATGCATATGTGTGTGTTTCTGTGTGTTTATTTAGAATCAGAAGTAGACACAGACACTTGTAGTCTGGGTTTCATCTTTTTAATTTTTTTTTTGTTGTTTCATGAAATCTTTATAATGACATAAATGTTCTTAATTCTTTTGCATCTCTTTCATTCAATGTAAGCAAAAAATCTTATTCATATTTTCCTGACCTGGCCAACAACTCAGTTTATGGGTAATGTTTGGGTTTGATTTGCCCTTTTGTCAAGTTTAAATGAACATTCTGTTTCTCTGTCTCTATTTTGGATGTATTTTTTGCATTGAGTACACAACTGTTGTTTTCTTGTAGGAGCAAGCTGAATCCAGTGACAGTTGACCCTGACAGACCAGAATTTGTCAAGCCATCTTGGAACCATTCTTTGAAGGTATTTTTGCCCATTATTCTTAAAGGGGACAAGGGGTTGGAAAAAGGGGAGTACACTTGTTTTTCTTTCTTCAATGAAAGGCGGATAGCTTTCTCACCTTTTGAATTGTCATGTTAAGCAGTGCTTTGCTGGCCTGTGTACATATCTTTGTGCTCTACTGAAGATTCATTCTGGAAATAAAGAACATGGTCAAAAAGAGGCTGACTGTTGAAAAAAATATCTATCATTTTACGCTTTCTTTTTCTTTTTTTTTTTTCTTTTTTTCTTTTTTTTTTTTACTACATGCTGCTTATAAATACTCAGGTGCTGAAAATATTGGGGCAGCTATTATTTTCCTGTTAATGTGAAATTTATTGCTAAAGAATATGGGATACAGGAAAAGTAAATGTACTTGAATAAATTCTCCAAAGATTTTTAGTGCAGAATTACATCCTGAGAAAAAACAAAAGTGCTGTCCATTTAAGAACCTTGACCATCCCAGGTGACTTTTCTTTTTCTTCCATCACCCCAACCCCCTTGCCCCCATAGTTTTTCAACACAGATTATCATTTCTTGTAATTTATTTTTACGTTACCTAAATATTTTTCAACGGAAATGACAGACACAGACTTCATGGTGAACTTTTCCAACTTCTTTTCTGAACTTTGACGTTTAAAAGAACTGTTCTTACTTTGTTTCTAAAAGTTGCTTTTTGTTTCCCCCAGCTCATGGCTGACACCAACTTCCTGAAGAACTTGGTGGAGTTTGACAAAGACAAAATCAATGATGAGATGTGTGAGTTTGTGGAGCCGTACCTGGCAGCGGAGGACTACACCCTGGAGATTGCCAAGAACGTCTGCGGTGACGTGGCTGGTCTGCTGTCCTGGACAAAGTCTATGTACACTTTCTACTTCATCAACAAAGAGGTTTTGCCTCTCAAGGTAAACAATTTTTCCTTTCAACAAAGACTGTTTGCACCTTAAGTAACCGATTCTTTCCATTTGTATGCACTCGTTATATTTCGCTGACAAAGAGGTTTTGCCGCAGAAGGTAACAAATATATATATTGAAATAAAGGAATTCCACTTTATCTTTCACCTTGGAAAATGTATTTTACAAAGGCGTATGTAAATACTCAAATACGCTATTACATAAATGCTTAAATAATACACAGTATCGCAAACATAGACAATCCAATCACTATTGTTGGTTGTCTTTGCAAAATGTTCTGGGTTTTTTTTTGGGGGGGTTGTAAGTGTTTTACAGCGCTCGCAACTGCATTGTCATATGAGTGTGCGGAACACACCAAACATTTTCAGTTGGTAGGAAATTTTGAATTTCGCCCAGGTGGCGCCTGAAGCCTACTCTTATTGATTTTGGACCTCCAAAGGATCTTATATGTGCGCAACTTGCTCACGGAATGTCCAAGACTTTTCGCCCTTGTCTGAGAAGGCTAGGTGTAGATCTTACCTACCATAAAACCATGGGTGTGGCTCAAAGATAGCAGTAAGAAGGAGCCAAAGAGTAGCAGTAGAAAGGCTACAGAAAGAGTCAGGAGCCCAGGGGAGGGTGCAAAGGAGGTTAGTGAGGGAGTGGGGGCAGAAAGTGGAGATGAAAGCAGACGACAGATCATTGTTAGAAACATTGTTAGAGAGCAGAAAAGGATGTGAAAGAACATTTTTAGAAAATAAAATTTTCCGTCGCTGTCCGGATTTGAACCTGGGACCTATTGAACGAGAGGCGAACACTTTAACCTCTAGGCCACAAGAGCCCCCTTCTGTTTTTTAATTTGGGTTATCGGTTATTGTGTCTTGCTCAAGGACACACTTCAGTGGCCGCCCATCAGAGGCACACTCTTGACATTATTGTGAGGCTAAGCTCAGTAACCACTTAGCTGCTAGAGCCCACTAATGCATGCATTCTATGTTTTAAAGAGTTACATCTGACCATGTACCTGTTGACTACAAAGTCAGTCTTGGGTTGGAGGAAGAAGTTGATCATTTTCTGGTTGTTATGCTGCTGCGACCTGCAATAGAGTTACTTCACTCGAGATGATTAAGGTTGTCACTGTGCTGTGTGAAGTTATACCTCTGAATGCTTTTGTAAACAGTTTCTGTAAGAATAAATAAAAGTGAGTGGTCTTTTATTCTTTTAATGGCTTTTCACAGAGGAACTTTTTACTTCAGCGTTGGTGGCCTAGTGGTTAGGCTCTCGGACTCGCAACCGTAAGGTCGAGGGTTCGAATCCCGTCAGGGGCCCGACGTTGTGTCCTTGGGAAAGGCACTTTGCACAAATTTTCCTCACTTCAAACAGGTTGAAATGGGCACCCGGCTATAGACAGTGAACGATCTTGTCAGTTTGATAGTGTTTGAGCGCGTGAAATCCGCTGCTTGCACTGTATGCTTCCGCGGAAGCCGAGAATGTTTCAGAGTGTTCTCAGAGGGTCTGCTGGGGTAATAATAGTTGTAAAGCGCATAGAGCATGCTCTTGAGCATGGATATGCGCTATATAAATGCAATTATTATTATTATTATTTATTTTTCTTCTCAGGCCAACTTGGCTGTGCAGGAGGGCAGGCTGAAGATTGCCATGGGTGATCTAGAGACGGCTCAGGGTCAGTTGGATGCTAAGGAGGCAGAGCTGAGGGCTGTACAGGCTGAGTATGACAAGGCCATGGCAGAGAAGCAAGCTCTGATGGATGATGCGGAGACTTGCAGGCGCAAAATGTCTGCGGCTTCGGCTCTCATCAATGGCCTGGGTAGTGAGAAAGAAAGATGGACAGAACAGAGCAAGGAGTTCAAGGCTCAGATTGGAAGGTACACTCTGCTTTTGTAATGACGACGACACAAGTTGGATTCTTTAGAAGGTGGTCTGTTTCAGTCATGCCTGTCTGGGGCCAGCCCAAGCTCAGTGGGATTTAATGTCTCAGAAAACAGAAGGGGATACTTGACAAAGTCTTCCTGAACTCATGTCTTCTACATGCCATAGCGAAAAGTGTAACCCTCACATCACAGATGTGGGTGGTTGACAGGTGCTCTGGTGTGGTTTGCTCCTTCTTTCCTATAAAAAATCTATCGTCCCTATCTCCCCTCCTTCTTTTTAATGTTTGTTACTCTCTTGTAACACCTCTAATCTTCGGCACTTATATGACCTTATTGTGTTGCAAATGCCGTAAAACTCTTACAAAAACATCACATCACAGACACTGGTCCTCATTGAGCAGCCTACACTTTATTGAAAAAGATTTTATTGCTTTTTTAAATCTCAAAAGTATTTTTAAAATGTTTTAATTTTTGTCTATCATCAGCACTCTTATACATTGTTATTCCTTTTCTCACCTATATATTTCTTGTGTATTCTTTTGTAAATTTTGTTCAGAGAAGAATGATTCAATGTTCTTATGTCCACAGACTGGTGGGAGACATCTTGATCTGCACGGCCTTCTTGTCCTACTCCGGACCATTCAACCAGGACTTCCGTGCCCTGCTGAACAGAAACTGGATGAAAGAGCTGAAGAACCGGAAGATTCCGTACTCAGCGAACCTGAATGTGGTGGAGCTGCTTGTCGACCCAACTCAGGTGTGTATATTTTTACTCACTTTGCAAAGTTTTTTGCTTTTCCGGCTTCATCAAGCCTGATCTTTTCATCAAGATCTTTGTTGTTCACTTCTAATTTTTTTCAGCATTCTCCTTTCGATGACCAAATCTTTTCTATCTGTCCTGACTTGAAAGTAGGGTTTACCTTGTCACATGTATGAGAGCGAACTTTTGAATCATCAGATTCTGATGTTGAGATCCTTGTTAATTGAGTAGTAAAGGACTTCTTCATTGGGTTGTTGTGTGTTGAGACGTTTGTTTTCATTTTAAAAAATGTCTTGTTACTTTGCCTGAAGTAAGATGTCCACTGCACTGTCTACCTATGCTTTTTTTATCTATCAGTTTGTTATACCCCTGCTTGATTTGGCTGGTTATGACACAAATGTACGATATGTTTAGTTAAAAAGTGTCATAATTTATTATGCCGTTATTACTCAAGAATTGCTTGCATTACATTTTTTATAAGTTACTCTTATTTCCCGAGGCTAATGAAAGTATACCATTCCTCAAACTTAACTTTTGTTAATTGTCAGTTGTTGCTCCCCCAGTTCTGTATACTGGCTTATGTACTGTTGGTGAAAGAATAACCCTTATTTTGCACGTTTCAAGAACCAGCGCCATGTTTTTTCAGATTGCAGAATGGAACTTGGAGGGTCTACCAAATGATGAACTGTCTACCCAGAACGGCATCATCGTGACTCAAGCCTCACGCTATCCCCTGCTGATTGACCCACAGGGCCAGGGCAAGAGCTGGATTAAGAAGAAAGAAGAGAAGAGTGAGCTCCAGGTAGGTCAAATGCAGTGAGACACATATCAATGTCGGGCTATTCACTTAACATTTCCATATTTAGAAAAAAATGTTCTGAAAAGGAATGAAAAAAGAGACCTCCTTATTTCTTCTTTTTGAAAATGTATTTGAAATTGTCATGTAACTCTTAGATTTCTGACTTTTTTCAGCTCTAAATGACAGTTGTTGTGGTAGTCTGCTTTTCTTTTACTCAGATGTACCTACAATTCAAACTTCATTGCTTTTTTTCTAAAGGTGACATCGCTGAACCACAAGTACTTCCGACAGCATTTGGAGGACTCCATGTCCCTTGGCCGGCCTCTCATGCTGGAAGACATTGGTGAGGAGCTTGACCCTGCCCTGGACAATGTTTTGGAGAAAAATTTCATCAAGGTCAGTGACTTGTTCGAACAAAAGAGAAGGGTCTAGCAGTTAAAGTTATGTTTCAGACTTTTAATGATGTGGATAATATACTTTGATAATCTTCTTTCTTAATGAAATAACAAGCTAAGCATTGAGTGACCCTGAGATATCTAGTACAGTATTGGTCATTGATCCTTCCTTGGCTCTCACTGCTATTAATATTTCCTTTCTCACTTTGACCTAGTTTCCATATGTCATTGTTATTTATCATAAAACACAGAGTGGTACAAAACAGAAGCAACTGTCTATTAGGTGAAATTGTGCAAATTCCTTAAGAAAAATGTTAGGCAGCGTGGTGGAATCAGGCTCCTGTCAAAATAATCAAATTTAAAGAAACTTGCATTTTTTATTTTTGGCTCAACACCTTTCATACCCATTAAAGAACTCATCTCTGTGTGGATTTCCCTGAAAAACGTTGATTAAAGGCACACAAAAATTTAATTTTCAGTTACCACGGACTCTAAAGCTAAGGAAATAACTAATCTTTGGCTTCCATTTTCTTACTTATTTTATCTCTGAAAACAGGTGACCACCACCTCCTTCATTCACAAATATCTCGACTTGTATTCAAGATAAATGGATACTATTTTCATTCAAATAAAGACAAGTGAACAAGCTTTAAGATGACACCAATAACTCTACATGCCCAAAAATTGACAAGAGCCTGATTCCACCACGCTGCCTCACATTTCCTTCCTCACTTTGACCTAGTTTCCATAATATGTCATTGTTATTTATCATAAAACACAGAGTGGTACAAAACAGAAGCAACTGTCTATTAGGTGAAATTATGCAAATTCCTTAAGAATAATGTATTTGATTTTGTTCTTTGTCTGCTTTCCCCTCAAAATCCTTGCTGTTAAGCTTTTGTAATGCTGCAGCATGCCATATTTTGTTAAACAAAGCTGTAGGGCTGAGTTGTGACCATCTTTGTTTCTTGCTGCAGGTGGGCTCCACTCTGAAGGTGAAGGTTGGCGACAAAGAATGTGACCTGATGAAAGGCTTCACTTTGTACCTTACCACCAAAATGCCAAACCCATCCTACACACCCGAGATCTCGGCCCGAACTTCCATCATTGATTTCACCGTCACCATGAAAGGTCTGGAGGATCAGCTGCTAGGACGTGTGATCCTCACAGAGAAAGCTGTGAGTTGTTTGCTCATACTTGTCTCTATGTTGGTATATTTCTTCCGCACCCCTATTTACACTAGTGAGATCTTCTAGGAGTCAGGCTGCTTGAACCTTTCTTATCATGGCCTACCCGGGCTGTGTGAGTTTCTTGTAGAAGAAAAGTTGGAATACCTTCCCTATGAGGGTGGACCACATTTGCCTTGTGTGTTAGTCAAAGAGTTTAATCATTGCAGCATCTGAATGTGTGAAGTGGAACATAGATAAGGGACTAAAAGTATCATTTCTTCAATTGGAAATCATTTATAACATCTAGAAAGAGGATGAACGAAGTCCTAGTTTTTTGTATTTTTACCAAGCATGAGGTATTCCTTGTACATGAGTATTTTCTTGTAACTGGATCTAGATTAATTGAGTTGTATGGTGTACATTTATTACACGTGTACATTTATTACACGTGTCTCTTTCATGCAATCTTTATACTCTTTACTTTTTCATCTGCTCTCATGTCCCATATAAGGCACTACCACATGCGTCATTCTCAAACCCACTCAATTACCAAGTAGCTTATCTTTTGCCTGTGGCCATCTTCAAATGAAAAAAAATAAAGGCCCATACCTCTATCTGAGAATGGGAAACTTTATGTTCACTTGGAAGCAGAGAAACTTAAAGCTGACGTGTTAAACAATGCATGCTGGAGAAATGTTGAAAGAAAATGGGACGGGAGGAAAGCTTACTTAGAGGGGCAATGATTTTATTGTTTGAATTAGACCTTCAATATCTAATACACAATTCTCAATTCCTCAGGAACTGGAAAGTGAACGTTTGAAGCTGATGGAGGAAGTAACGGCCAACAAGAAGAAAATGAAGGACCTGGAAGACAGCCTGCTGCTCCGACTCACCACTACACAGGTAGAACAACAAGAAAACTTGTGTGCTGCTCATGCTCGCTGACGTGACACTTATTTTTTTATTTTTCAATGATCTTTTTTTTTTTTTTTTGGTGGAAAAACACACATACACTGTGGACAAACAATGCATATGTACATCATGTAAAAATATTAGTGAGGTAATTCTCTTTCATGATCTAGCAGGTTTAACAATGTGTTATGTAATTTTTGTTTAGAAAAATGTGAATGCTGAGATCTGCTTTTAACATAGATCTAGTAAGTTGCTGTAGAAATGAGTTTTGTCATCATATTCATATTATTTTTAAGTGTTTTGATGAATACCTCTCAACTGTCTTCTACTTTGTCAACCCACCTAGGGATCTCTGGTAGATGATGAGGACCTCATCAACGTGCTACATGTCACCAAGGCCACATCGGTGGATGTGACTCAGAAACTGGACATTGCGGCCGAGACAGAGATCAAGATCAACTCTGCTCGTGAGGAGTTCCGTCCTGTGGCCACACGAGGTTCCATCCTCTACTTCTTGATCACAGAGATGAGCCTGGTCAATGTCATGTACCAGACGTCCCTACGGCAGTTCCTGCAGCTCTTTGACCTCTCCATGGCAAGGTCAGCTCACCCTCTTCCCTTTCTTTTAGCTGAGACTACTGTTCAGATAAAAATTTAATGACTCCAAGTTTTTTTTAAATTGTTATATATATATATATATATATATATATATATAAAACTGTTTCACTAGCAGGAGACTCAAACCCATAGTTGATTGGATGTCACTTTCGGCATTACTCCTTTCATGTGAAGGGGTAGCATCTTTTATTAGCTTGTGTTGTGTCTGCAGTCAAACTGGTAACAGAAGGGTAGGTCAGGGGTTCAAAACCTGCAGGGGTCCATGTTGTGTCCTTGAGTAAGGCATTTTACATGAATTTTCCTCACTTCACCCAGGTGGGAATGGATACCTGGCTATAGCCAGGGAAAGATATTGTCAAAGATCACATGTTTGTTTTTGAATATTTCTATGTTTTCTTGACAATGAAAAGAATATGACAGTTGATTTATCCATTCATTATACCTATTTAGCATTGCATACTGTTGTCGTATACAGGTCGACCAAGTCTCCTATCACACAGAAGAGAATCCAGAACATTATTGAGTACATGACCTTTGAGGTGTTCAAGTACGCAGGCAGAGGGCTCTATGAGAGTGACAAGATGACCTTCACCCTGCTTCTGGCCTTGAAAATTGATCTTCAAGGCATGAAGATCAAACATGACGAGTTCATGACCCTTATCAAAGGTGAATCATCGTTCTGCTGTTATTCACCCTCATCTAAGGCATTGTGCAAATTTACATTGAGGTTCAAATCCATCTTGTATAAACAACAGTTAATCCTGCTTTATGTGTAGTATTCTTTTCTCCCTTAAAAAAAGCAATTTAAAAAAATATTATGTAGATCCATATTTGATGAGGGTTTTTTCCATTAAAGAGGAAAGAACAAATAATAGAAATTTCTTTTTCTGTCGCAATTTTTTTAAATATATGAAAGCTTTGAGAGTATTTGTGCTTAACACTGATTGTAAAAATTACAGGGACAGCATTTTATTATTTTTATCCTCCTTGCAGGTGGTGCCTCTGTGGACACATCGTCTGCTCCACCAAAACCGTCCCACTGCAAGTGGATCCCACAGATCACCTGGCTGAACCTGACGGAGCTGAGCAAACTGCACCAGTTCTCCGGTATCATGGAGCAGGTAGAGCGCAACGACAAGCAGTGGAGGCAGTGGTTTGACAAGGAGGCGCCCGAGGAGGAGATTATTCCTGACGGCTACAACAACTCTCTGGACGTGTTCAGACGGCTGTTGCTGGTGCGGTGCTGGTGTCCGGATCGTATTTTGCCCATGGTGAGACGTACATTTTTGCTGGCACTGCTATATTTTATTGGATAAAGACCAAGCTGTGAGGATTTTTACCATTTTTATTATTTGAAGATCTAGTAGTAAATAAAACACTCGCGTTACAATTGAATGCCATTTGTGTCAAATAATGGTTATTTTCTCTCGGACAACTTTTAAACATAATTATGATTAAATTAATGTTTTTGCCTCATGCAACTTTTAAACATCATCTCAATTAAATAATTGTAATGTAAATCAGCCTGAGGGTACTGATGGGATTAATTGTCCCTCCAGCAGGGACATAACTTTTTCACTGATGGATATTTTAATTTGTATTTGCCTGCAGAGATCAAACTCATTTGAATCAAACGATATTTATTTTTCAGACAATACTTAAACATCATTGCCTCCTAGTATTTATTTCTCTGACAACATATGAATTTTATTATAATAAAAATATTTTTACTTGTCCAGGCAAAGAAATATATCGCAGACACAATGGGAGAGAAATACTCTGAGGGAATTATTCTGGACCTGGAGAAGATGTGGCAAGAGAGCAGCAACCGCTCCCCCCTTGTGTGCCTGCTCTCCATGGGCTCTGACCCCACGCCCCTTATTGAAGGACTGGCCAAGAAATTGAGGCTTGGTGAGCTTACAGAGACTGCATTACTTTCACTTTTAGCGACCATCTGCATTGCATTTGAGAAAAGAATGTATCTACTTCTGTAAAGCCTACATTGTGAAAATAAAGTCGAACCTGCTTTAACAGTAACAGCCACTTGTATAAGACAATCACCTGCACAAACAGTCACTTCCAATTTCCTTCCTTGCATAATTTGAACAATACGTAATTATTCTATGTCAGATGACCACCTGTCTTAGATGGAGGTCCACTTTTCTCCTCGACAATGGGCAATGGGTGGCTGTAGTCTCAGACAATTTCGACTGTGTTAGCTAAAAGTTGGACAGCTTTGTTCAAAGAAATACTTCAACTGGAGTAATCTTGTCTCTGGCCCTGATAAGAGCTTTGCTAGAAGATGGTTTTTCTCGTCATTGGACGCTTAGATGTTAACATCCCTTATCATCTATTCTCAGAGTGCAATGCCATCTCCATGGGTCAAGGTCAGGAGGTGCACGCTCGACGTCTGCTTCAGCAGGGTGTGGCCTCGGGAGGGTGGATGCTGCTCCAGAACTGCCATCTCAGTTTGGACTACGTCAACGAAATCATGGACGCTATCATTGAGACAGAGACCATTCATGATGAGTTCCGATTGTGGGTCACCACAGAAGTCCACCCGAAGTTCTCCATTAACTTCCTGCAGGTCAGTTGTCTATGTGGGTGTTCGAGTATGTGTGTTTGTGTGTGTGTATGTACATATGTATGTATGTATGTATGTATGTGTGCATGTGTGTGTGTCTTTGTATTGAATTTTCGCCCAAGCTATTGACTTTAGAGACACCAACTTATAATCTTTTACTATAAAAGCTGGCTGCACAGCTGTCTTGACCTCTGATTAAACCTCTTGTGTAATATGTTGTTGATGCATGAAGTACCTTCTACTTCTAAAAGGCCAATTCAATGGGGGTCCTAGAGCTGGCAGTGTAAAGAGGGTTGATTGGATTTTTCATGTTTATGTTATTTAATCTTGGAACCCTTGTATTCAAGCCCTCTTCACCAATGATATAAATTTTGTTTTCCACTGCCAATATGTTGCTTGCATTTAGATAGTACTGACAAAATGTAAAAAATCAAGCTTGCACATCATTTTGACCCAGCCTAGAAGGGTTTATTCTATTTTGGAAGTGATTGTACATTTTGAATTTGTATGAATTCCGTTTTCTTCAAATTATCACTTCCTAAATTCAGAATTTGTGTGGACCTCTTATGTTATATTATCATGTATTTTCTTCCTTTAGATTTCCATCAAGTTCACCAATGAGCCCCCGCAGGGAGTCAAGGCGGGTCTAAAGAGGACGTACGCTGGTGTCACACAGGACTTCCTGGACATCTCCAACATGCCCCAGTGGAAACCAATGCTCTATGGAGTGGCCTTCTTGCACACTGTTGTTCAGGAGAGGAGAAAGTTTGGTCCTTTGGGCTGGAACATTCCTTATGAGTTCAACACATCTGACTTCAATGCTAGTATTCAGTTTGTGCAAAACCATCTGGATGACATGGACCCAAAGAAGGTTAGTATTGCAATGTGTTCAGTCTGAAGTTGGTTTTGTTCCATCTCAGCAGAGGATAGTGTTTGTGCTGTATTGATCTACATTAGTAATTTTCTATCTTATTTCAACCAGCACCCTTGTATCCGTCACAACCTAGGTGGTCCCCGCCAGGTCTTGGGAGAAAAATCTTTAGAAGCTGCAGGAAGCAGAATCATTTATGAGCAAAAAAGGAGTGTGAAAGCTTTAATCATATTACAAACCAACAGCTGTTTCAGGATATAATTTTTAAAAGTTTGTCAATTTGTACTGTCTTCCAGACTACTCTGTTCACAGAAAATAGCTAAGACAGCTTCTTCCAACATGACTGACCGTCTCCGGACAATCGCCTTGTACTTCAAAGCATCAAGGGAAATGACTATTTCATTCATAGAAATGACAATAGAATTAAGATATTTGCCTCTCAGAAATAATCCGTATGTTTTCATTCATTTTTTTAAAAGTTCAAGAACTGAGTTGCTGTTGGAACAGCCAAGCAACTGAACCGAGGTTTGATTTTCCTTGAGACTCACAAGTGTGCCGATTTATCAATATTACTCTCTATTGTGCACTTTCGTATCTTCCTCCAGGGAGTGACGTGGGTCACAGTGCACTACATGTTTGGTGAGATCCAATATGGTGGCCGCGTCACTGATGACTATGACAAGCGTCTGCTCAACACCTTCTGTTCAGTCTGGTTCGGAGAGAAGATGTTCGAGCCCAACTTCGTCTTCTACAAGGGCTACAACATTCCCAAGTGTACAAAGATCAATGAGTACCATGAGTACATCAACGACCTGCCCTCTACCGACGCCCCTGAAGTGTTTGGACTTAATGCTAATGCAGATATCACGTAAGGATTGGGTTTTGTCCTTTTTACAAATTGTGGGATGTATGAATACATTAACCCCCTTGTCGACCTGTTTTGATTTTTAGAAACAGTGGAACATTCTCCTAATCAATTAAAATCTTGAAGAAATTGTTTTGCCGTTATCTTTCTTTTCCTTATCTTCTCCTTCTTCCTCCTTCCTCACTAGCATTACATCAACACTCATTGTAGAAGCTTTGATTCATTTTCTGTTAGAGCCAATAACTACCACATATATAAGATAAGATAAGATACATCTTTATTGTACACATATATGAACACATACTCTCATTCCTCATTATTCTTTTTCTGTTGTGTTATCAGTATCCGATACTTCTTTTTAGATAAAAGGTCACCCTCTCTCTCAGATTCTCTGTACAATGTTAGTCTGTGCTAATTTGTAGCTTTCATCAGATAGGTGCATATCCTAAACAGTAATATTAATAACCTTTATATTTTTCTTCTTTGACATTCACATAACAGTTAAAACCAATACATTGCTGTGAGCTTTTGTTCTTGTCATGTTAACATACATTTTTTCCGTCGTTGTTCCCAGCAGAATTTTGGGTTTTATGAAGGCCATTGGCCTTTATGGCAAATTGTAAAGTGAAACGATATTGTTAAAAAATTTATTATTTTTTTTATCGTTATTTATAAGAGTTGTTTTAAATCGCAAATATATTTACACTGAATTTTAGTATTTTAGCATTTTAAAGTCTAATTGTCGACAAACCGTGCAGTGAACTGTTGCGAATGCTACCAACTTGTGTTTCGCGCACTCATATGACCTTATGCAGTTGTGAGCGCCGTAAAACCCTGTACTACTACTACTAGGGCACCTTTATTTGAAGAGTCAGTATTTCATCTCATTGTTCTATGAAAGTTACAAAGAAAGAACTCAGCTCAAACCAAAACTTTGAAGTAATGTTCTTTGGACACAATAGTGTTTCTTTGTATACCCTGGACATATTAGAAAGAAGACAGGAATGGTAAGATGATTTTTGTTTTTAGATTTTGAATTGATGGAGGTCTTTTGGTTTCCCCTTGACTGTTTCCGTCATAATAACTTTTTCTATGACAGTGCTTTATTTAGTTTTCTGTGGAGGATATACATTTTGACCAATAGCTGTCACCGTCGTTTTATGCAAGAAAAATTGTGAAATTATGCAAACTGAGCCCAAAAATGTGAAATTATGCGATTCTGTTAATTTTAACAAAGAATGATAAAGGAAAATAATCAGAATTTATGCCAAAATTGATAAAATTTTTCCAAATTATGCGGGGTGCATAAAACTACGGGGACAGCAATAGTTGTTTGTCTTCATGTCATAGGACGCACCAATAGCTCAGTGGGTATTGTGCTGTTATGGAATGTATGTAGGGGCCTATAACTGTAGTTTGAATCGTCAAAAGGGCATTCTTAAAATAAGGTTGTTTCTAGAGTTTTTTAAGTAGACTCATCACCTAAGCCTACTTGTTTCAGTCTTGTCAGAGACAGAGATTATAATTATTCCGAGGTCCTAACTTTTGAAGGATATAAGAGTGTTTAAAGTTAAAGGGTAAGATTCATAAAATTACAATTATTTTTCATCATCTCACCTACTCTTTCTGCCTCCTTGACTTGAGCATTAATTTTGTACATTCATTCAAGATGCACCGGTTATTTCTCTCAATGAGATGATAGCTCACGTCTCCGCAAATGTGTCCCTTCTACAGTTATCAAAGTGTGACTGCCAAGACTATCTTGGATACCATTCTGAACATCCAACCAAAGGACAGCTCCTCAGGGGGTGGGGAGACCCGTGAGTCCATGGTCTACAAGTTCTGCGATGATGTCCTCAACAAACTGCCCCAGGACTATGACCCATTTGAGAAGAGGGCCTGCCTCACCAAACTGGGCAATCTGGAGCCACTGGTGATTTTCCTGAGACAGGTCAGTTTGTCAGGTTTTGAGTCAGCATCATGGAAATGTAGGACATTTATTGTCGTTACAGAATAATACGTAAGTGAATTTTCTTTGATTTTTACATGAGAGCTACATTTTCTAAAGGCTTTGCTTCAATTTGTGAGTTAGAAAAAAAATAGTTTCTTTTAAAAAAAATCAAATTCGTAGATCAATGGTACTCTTGGTGATAGGTAACGTGTATTTTTCTTTCTTTACAAATGACTCATTTTCTCTTGGTTACTCTCTTTGTGTGTCTGTAGAAATAAAGTGTTTTTTTGTTGCCACTGTTGCAGATCTGGTGTGTTCCGATCCTGTTTTTAATAGCTTTTCTCTCACTCTATTCAGTTCCACAACATACTGTTCATTGAATGATCATTTGAATTCTCTAAATGACATTTTAATGATACCACACATATTAAACCCTGTCTGTACGTCGTGTTTTACTATCGTATTCAAACCATGTGGGGAACTCTGTGCCACCATTTTCCAAAGAGGAAATTTACTTGTTATTCGATCTGTATGCTTTGCATAGCAGTCTGTCAAAATGATTTTTTGAGAAATGCTGAAAGTTTCGAAGAGATCTTCGTACTAGAAGTATTCTAAAATGTGAAGAATATAACCCCGGGGGTACAAAATAACCCCAGGGCGTATGGATAGGGTTAACACTGGTATGTGGGAGTTTTTTGTTATGAGTATACTTGTCATTTATGGTTATGGACTGCAGCTATGAGAAAAATTTATCAGTAAAGGAATATAAAGTTCTGGCTTATTTGTTCCTTTCATCTCTACATAGATCTTATCTCATCTTGTCATATTCATGTATATATGCACATATTATTAGGAGTAAAGATCTTTCTCATCTTATCTTGTCATATTCGTGTATATATGCTCATATTATTATGAGTAAAGATCTTTCTCATCTCATCTTGTCATGTTCATGTATATATGCACATATTATTAGGAGTAAAGATCTTTCTCGTCTCTGCACATATTATTAGGAGTATAAAGATCTTTCTCATCTCATCTTGTCATGTGTTTTCTGCTGCCAGGAACTGGATCGGATGCAGATTGTGATCACAGCGGTCAGGAACACTGTTGTTGACCTCAAGCTGGCCATTGACGGTACCATCATCATGAGTGAAAATCTCCGAGATGCCCTGGACTGTATCTACGACGGTCGTATCCCAGCTGCTTGGAAGAAGGTAAGGAAGTCTTTGGTTTCTTTCAGGGATGTCAATTCTCAAAATTTTCTCCTAGATTCAGGATTTTGCTTTTAGAAGTTGAGAAAATTAATCCCAACTTTTGTTTTATGTTTTGTTATTATTCAAATTCTTCTGTACTTAAAACATAAAAGTCATGAAAATTTGTGTTGAAAAAGTGCAAAACATGTCGCAAATGGTGTTACGGTAACTTGCATAATTTTTGAATAATTTGGCATTTTTTGGGCATAATTTGGCCATCTAAATTCGCATAATTCTACAGGGACAGTAAAGGAAAATAATCAGAAATTATGCCAAAAATTATCTAATTTTGCTAAATTATGCAGGGTGCATAAAACCACAGGGACAGATTAATAATGTAAAAGTCAAATGGTTGTACTCCACCGACAACTTTCTAAACAAGTGTAGCATTGCTGGAAATCTGTCCCCGTGGTTTTATGCACACCGCATAATTTAGCAAAATTTGATCAATTTTTGCATAACTTCTGATTATTTTCCTTTATCATTCTTTGTTAAAATTAACAGAATCGCATAATTTCACATTTTTGGGCTCAGTTTGCATAATTTCAGAATTTTTCTTGCATAAAACAACGGGGACAGGGAAGAAATGGTAGTGCTGTGACTGTTCACGAGTAAACGGTTCCCTATCTTGCTGAGGGACACACCCAATAACCACCACCCATTGAAATGCTGCCATCTTAATGTTGCTTGATATCTGTTGTGAGTCTTTATATTCCATGTCACGAATCACAGGGTGTATTTTGGCTTCTCATAGATTTCCTGGGACTCCAGTACCATCAGCTTTTGGCTGAATGAGCTTCAGGACAGGAACACCCAGTTCCGCTCTTGGCTCTACAACGGAGCTCCAAAGTCTTTCTGGATGACTGGCTTCTTCAATGCTCAAGGCTTCCTTACAGCAATGAGACAGGTAAGAAAAAGAAACCATGTATAGATATTGATTCTATCAAAGAAATTTATATTATTTTTAATTTCTTATTAATGGAATGTGTGTTATTATTATTTTCTGAACTTCTTCTTCTTCTATCCCGTGGTTGGGGCAACCGTGGGGGCACCACTTCATTGGAAAACCAGCTCTCGCCATCTATTTTTGTCCTCTGCTCTCCTCAGATTGTCACCCATCGTCTTTCCTGTCCACTCTGTAATGTTGTCCTCCTATCTCCTTCTCAGCCTTCCTCTCTTTTTTCTGAACACATATAAATCTAATCTTTCATAATACATGGCTCTAGGCCTCTGGCTGTTGGATTGTAAAATTGTAATGTTGTCTTGTAATTGTATGGGTATAGTGTCCATTTTAACACGGTAAAGTCATTGGAGAGGCAAGACTTCTTTGTTGAGAATTTTTGAATAAAATATAGTACCTCATGTTTTTGTCATTCTACTATGTTGAAAAGATCAAATAAAGTAATATTGCCCCTTGAAGTCTTTGCACATCCACTTTACATGAATCATATTAGAAGTCACTAATGTTAGTAGCAGTTGTTTGTTTGTTTTGTTTTTTTTTTTCGTCCTTTTGTTTGTGCTTTCTTTTACCAATATCTGACTGTGGGCGGTTGGCGGGTGCTCTGGTGTGGTTTGCTCCTTTCCTATCAAACGTCTATCGTCATTTTCTCCCCTTCTTCTTTTTATGTTTGTTACTGTCTTGTAACACCCCTAATCTTCTGGCGCTCATATGACCTTATGCAGTTGCGAGCGCCGTAAAACCTCTACTAAAACTAAAAATATCTGACTCTCAGTCAATTAGGAAAGAGGAAGTGTGCACCACCTTATGCTTGCATTGCCTCTGTTGCTCTGCAGAAAGTGACCCGTAACCACAAAGGCTGGGCCCTGGACACTGTGGTCTTGTACAACGAAGTGACCAAATTTGAGAACATTGACGCCGTGCCTCAAGAGCCACAGGAGGGTGTCTATGTCCACGGCCTCTTCCTAGATGGCGCTGGCTGGGACAAACGGAACAGCAAACTAATTGAATCAAAACCCAAGGTGAGGCTGTTTTCCCTTTGCTGATAATATTTGCTGTTCCCTATTTTATACAGCAGAAGATATTCAGAGACGTCTCTCACAAGTTCCCAGGAACTATTCGCAGACGCAGTCCCGCACACAGATGCACTGCTTTGGGGGTCAAACTGCGTATTGTTTGCTGCAGATCACACATATAGTCACAAATACTGTCGCAAATGAAGTATTAAAAAAAAATTTTGAAACCTAGCAGTAAAATATCAAATTATGGGTTAAAACAGGAGGTGTGCCCCCCCTAGAACACCCCCCAATTTTTTAACTTGGTCTAGAGGCACAAAGCATTTTGATTGGTCTATCTCCATCGGAGATGTCTCCGGATAGATACTGCTGTTTTATACATTCTCAAACTGCAACTGCAAGCCTTCTTTTCATTGCTTAATATTTCCCCTTAGTGTTCCTACTGTTGCTAGCTGTGGTAAACCCCTAGTGTCTTTAAAACCATCACTATTTTACCTGCTTAACTCTATGGTTTTACAAATCATTGACAATGGTCAAGCTTTGTTCTCTAACAAAATGCATCGTTTGGTAATGAATTCAGAAGTTACACGTCTGTGAGTGGTTTGTGGGTGCTCTGGTGTGGTTTGCTCCTTCTTTCCTATCAAACAACTATCGTCTTATATCTCCTCCTTCATTTTTTTTGTTTGTTACTCTCTTGTAACACCTCTTATCTTCGGCAATTGTAGTGCAAGTCATCATCATCATCATTGCCTTTCTCACCCTGCATCAGGGTATAGGCCACGGACAAACACCTTCCACCTTTCTCTATCCTGGGCTAGCCTCTTGATGTTATTCCATGTCTTCCCACTTTTCTGTACATAGTGCAAGTGCAACTGCCGTAAAACGCTTACTTAAAAAAAAAAAAGAAGCTTCGTTTCATTTTTTCAAAAATGTCTATCTCCCAGGTCCTGTTTGAGTCCATGCCAGTGATTCACATCACTGCAATAAACAGCACCAGCAATGCGGACAACCCCCGCTTGTACAAATGCCCAATCTACAAAAAGCCTCGTCGTACTGACCTCACCTACATCGCGGAGGTCATCCTTCGCACTGGTCAGAACGTTGTCGCTGATCATTGGGTCCTCCGAGGTGTTGCGCTGCTCTGTGATGTCAAATAAGTGACTCAGATAACCGGTTTGTGTACTTCTTTAGACAGGACTAAAAACGTACATGTAGATCTATTCTTGTCGATACTTGCACATCTGTTTTATGAGGTAAGTTGTTTGAATAACCTGTTCTTGAACTTATTTGACAACACAGAAGGTGTACTCTTTATTTTATTTCAATTGTTCCATTATCAATATCAATTGTAGTAGGCTTTATTCTAGTAGGCTATGCATTTATTTGGTTACACAGGAAACATTATAATCATATGGCAATATGTGATTTTTTTTTTAATGACTTAAATTTTTCTATACTAATTGTGCATTTCAAATTTTGAACAATTGTTGCAAATTTTCCTCCTTTACATGCAAAGTGAATGATGTGGTCTGTAGACCATTTTCTGTTTCTTTACCAATACGAATTTATGGCCAACATCCGTCCAACTATCACAGTGATATTGTTATTTCCTCTTGCATATTTGTATCTTTTCCTTCTACTCATATATTAACTCATTTTCTCAGCATATATATGTCCATGTTTTTGTTGTAATCCTGACTTACATATTAGTTCGGGATAAGTTTTACACCATTGCAAACTCAGCATTGATACCAAATTGTTTTGAGCAATTCATTTCTTTGTTTCTGACAGATGTTGACGAGTGGTCAGTTGATGAAAGTTTCGTTTTTCTTCGTGCCTTCCACTTATTTCTATTAGCCCACATGAAAAGTTTCTGTTCTACCACTGTATGGATAACAAATGTGTTGAATAGAAGTAAGTAACATGCCTGAAGAAAATCCCAGTACTTTTTCCCCAAACCCTGGAGAATTGTGGGTGTCACTCGACCGATTGCCTTTTACATGTATTTACTCTCATTATGTCATCATTTTACTCTCTTGGGCACAGGTTCTTTTCTAGTCTCAATCCTTTCTCCATGTGCTTTCCCATTGCTGTTGGTTTTTTTCTCAGCCTTTATAAGATTTTTGTTTGGAGAAGTGTTTTGATTAAGCTCGCAAATGAAGGTGGCTTCTCAAAATTCATCGTGTCTTTTTCTTGAACCTTACTTTTGACCTTGCATGTCAACTTGTCCTTCATTTATTTCAAAGAGAGAATCAAAATTTTTGTCTTTAAAATTTCGTCTCTTATCCACACTTTTTAAAATACTCTTTGAAACTCTGCTACCAGCATCAGATTCAGTTCTTGTCAATCATGCATCTCTGTCACTTTTCCAAGTTCACAGAAATTCATATTGATTTGTTCCTCATCTCTTGATTTTTTTTAGTTATCTGTTCATAATATAATGAACAATCTACGGATAAGTTCGAGATATTTTTGCGGAGCAAATACGATTCTAAATTATTTATGAATATCTTATACATTGCCCTATTCTTTTAATTTCATAGATTTTTTATCTGTAGCGTTTTATTGAATTTTAAAAAGATTCAGTGTAATAATAAATGATGTGGGATTGATTGATTTTTTAAGTTATAGATGGAACTCAAATTGTGACTGCAAGCAATCTGGAAAGTTGTTCTATTTATTCATCCCATTTTTGGAGATATTTTGATAATAATAATATATTTTTGCATATGTATTGTGATAAGGTGATTTTTTTGGTTGTCTTCTACACAGTGTAATTTTTTGTTTTTGAGATCTTTTATATGGAATTTTCTTTACTATTCATATATCTTTTAAATGTATTTCTCTTTCACTCAGAGCAATGAAAACTGTGATAATGCTATTACTGATTGAGTAGGGCTATTTAGCTTCGACAGTTCTAAGGGTTCTGTTCGTAGATATTTTTAAAAATCCAATTTCTTGTAAGTTCCACATTAACTTTTGATATTCATGCCCTTGGTTTAGATACATATCTATATATTATATAATAAAGAATATTAAAAACTTTATGAATGAAGTCTTTGTTGTTGTTTGAATATGCTGCAAATTGGAGAGGGAGAGAGAGAGACAGAGTGATAGAGAGACAGAGAGTGATAGAGAGACAGAGAGTGATAGAGAGACAGGGAGATTAGAGTAGGGGTAAGCTCACTAAATTAGCGTCTGCGAGGCACGAACGGACGGCTGGTAATACTCGCAAATGAATGGATGGGTTACGAATGGTCCACTTGTTAAGATTTGTTTGCTGCACTTCAGGCGCAGAGACAACTGTTCGTTCAGCGAGCAGACGGACCGGGCGACTCCATGCATCTGAGTGGGTGGACGGCAAACGGAGTAACGCTTTGTATTGCATAATACTACTACCCCCCCCCCCCCCACAAACTACAGTACATTGCCATCTAAGTGGGACATGTAGCATATTGCAGCTGGGTGCCATTCATGGCGACCCGGGTATTCCCTCCTCCTCCTCCACAAAAGGTCTTTCAGTCAGTAGTATAGGGTTTTACGGCGCTCACAACTGCGTAAGGTCATATGAGCACGCGAAACACAAGTTGGTCTTGTTCACAACAGTTCGCTGTACGGCTGGCTCAGGTCAGTAGTTAAATCTTAAAATGTTTAAAAATCAGTGTAAATATACATATATTTTCAATCCAAAACAATTTTTTCTAGTTGACATAAAAATTTTAAATAGTACAGTTTTACTTTACAATTTGCCATAAAGGCCAATGGCCTCCATAAAATTCAAAATTTTGCTGGGACCAACGACGGAAAAAATCAAAAGGTCTTTGGAAAGTTTTAGTTTTAGTAAGAGTTTTACGGCACTTGCAACAAAATAAGGTCATAATATAAGTGCCGAAGAATAGAGGTGTTACAAGAGAGTAACAAACAAAAAAAAGAAGGAGGAGAGATCAGGACAATAGATGTTTGATAGGAAAGAAGGAGCAAACCACACCAGAGCACCCGCCAACCACCCACGGTCTTTGGAAATTTGTTAAACTTTGGCCATCTCAATAAATTAGAACGCACACAGTGTGACCCACACACATAGGAAAAGGTTTCAGACTTGGTGCTGCGTCACCAGCTTCTCTCATCTACTGTGGCACCCCTAGTGGCCTGTAACATTATGCCCAATTAAACAACAGATGATAGGCGTTGATTATCTTTTCCGCTAAAATTCGTCTGTTTGCCCACCTGCTGAGTGAATAAAATCAGGTCGCAGACAGGCCCAAAATGAATGTCTTGAAGTTTGCAGTCCATTTGCACAGCCATCCATTTTTTGCTCACTCTGACTGCGTTTGCTACTTAAGAAACGAACTCGTTTATCTAGTTGGCCCTAAGAGGGAGGGGGGGGTGGAGCAGTTAATTATATTTGAAGTACGATATTCAATTTGGTCATTTGAAATAACCTTGATCCAATCAATTATGCATTTGAATTTGACCTAACTGAGGAAAGAGACCAGATCCCCATTTAAGCATTTCACTTTGCTATGCTGGCAAACATTTCAGCAGACTTTTTGGGGAGGATGCAGAAGAGAAATGAAGAGGAAGGATGTTCTCAAATGTTTGTACAGTACTTCACGGCTTTTACCTGTGCATTCCGTCGGAATTTTCACAAGGTCGACAGAAATTGATAAATACAAAAACTGTGTAGAAATCTGAAGAGGACCACTGTAAGGTGACCAGCTTTTCCATCTTGTGAACGAGGAAGGGAAGAAAACCAAATCAGACTTTGCGTACATTCATACCTTCTAAAAGAGGGGTAAAAAACGTAACAATATATTATTAAATCCAGATTTATCACTTCAGTTGGAAGAAAAGGGTGGGGGGTGTTAACAAATAGCTCCACACCAGAAAGAGGTGCAACACTTCTCGTGGTGGGATAAACACACAAAAACATGTGCCCTTTGACAAGTGTGTGCAGCAGTGATTGTTACTGCTGGGTCGCGAGTGCGAGAACGGAACTGAATCGCGAATCGCCACTCTCAAATTTGGCGAGCAGGATCCAGCCCTAGTGATTGTGCTGCCTCTTCTCTGCCTTCTTTTCTCCCTTCCACTTCTGACTTTGCCTGCTGTTTCATTTTGAAAAGACTGGACCAGTGTGCATTGTAGAATAGTACTGTTGATTCAACTGTGTGAAAAACCCCCCCTCAAAACAAAACAAATCTGACTTAAGAGGACCAATAACATTTCCAGAAATCAGTTTCAGATCTTTCTTGGCTCCTTCCACAAAAAACAAATGCATTTCTTTTAAATTCTTTTCCAAATTTATTAAACAATTTCATAATTTGAGACAAAAACATAAATATTTCATTGATAAAAAAACCCAACACTTCCACACCACTTACATGTACGCCAGCTGACATATAACATATAATGACACAGGCACATATCATACTGTTACAACAGCTTACTCCAACACCAGACACAGAGTGACATGATTGTTTGAAAAAATCTAGAAAATTTACAGGAAAAGTGATCTGTAAATGAAACTTGCCCACATCTGTTTGATGAGACTGATAAGTTGCCTTTGTCATGTATCAACTCCGTTTGATGAGACTGATAACTTGCCTTTGCCATGTATCAACTCCAAGTACACCTGCAAGTCCCCCAATAGCATGGCTCTGACCTGCTACATGTATCAAATATTGCCTTATTTTCACAGTCACATTTTCATCTTTATTCTAATGTTCAGGTGATGAAATGCCACGTTGCTGCAGAGATCAAGTTAGTTATCACTTTTGACCAGCACTAAGTACCTGTAGGAGAACTCCTTTTTAAACCCTGTTTTACAGATCAACAGAAAGACAAGCAGAATGGGGTAGGGTAACAGGGGCGAAGGGTGTCATAGGCCAAGTAATATTAACAGATGTGCATATGAAGATTATATCAAATCCACAAAGTTTTAAAAAATTCAGCACAACACATTATGCCAAGGTCAAGTGTCATCTAATGCAGGAACATGCTGATAAAAATGAAGCTTTTAAAGTTTGAAAGATGAGAAGGAGTTAAGTTGTAACTAAAGACATGTCAAAATGATTATGGCCACATTTCACAAACTAACAGATAAGGACAGTAATGCCATTGACAAAAGCAAGGATAAACTACTCTTAGGGAACCCACCAACTTCCATTCTCTAAAGATATGATGAAATCTTTGTGTACACTAACATAGATAAAGCCATGAGACCTCCTAAATTATGACGCAAAACACTCAGCAGATTGGACAAAGTTGTTGGATGACACAAGACCAGGGCAGACAAACACTCACTTTTAAAAAATGAAATAAAAAAGTGTGCGCAACCCATACAGCAATGCTCAGCTTCGACTGAAATTCTATTGGGAGGTAATGATCTTGTGTTGCAAAAACAGAGGTGAGGTAGGCAATATACATCTCTACTTTAAGAATGAAGTCATTTAAGCCAAGAGTTTTCCTAAATAAAATTTGTTGATGTAACAATCAGACAGCAGCCTTCAAAATTCCTTCCTAAATTAACGCAAGTCAGTCTTTTACTCATCCAACTTGACATGATATTCTTTAAGAATTCGACAGCAACTAAACGCTACCAAAACAAAGCTGCGTTGCATTTGTATGAAGTATGCTTTTCTAGTCTGTTATGGCATATTTTATTTTATACTACATTCTGCCATACAGCCATAGAAATATAAAATTGAGCTGTCGCAGTTGTATTGTGAACTGAGCGTCTCACAATACATTAGTTGGCAAGCTTTTTCAATGGATAGGAAAATCAATTTACTGTATAGACTGTTTTCAGCAAATTCACATAACACACACATTCCATAACTATAGAAAATATTTGGACTTCAAATCATCAAGACAACATGGGTCAACTTTTATGTTTCTGACCAAAAGATACTCAGAACACACAATAATCAAAAAGACTACAATGGCAAATATATTGTACAAAACATGAAGTAATAAATACATCTAAAAAAATCATGGTATTGTTCAACAGCTTGAAATGTTTAAACGTCCACTGAAGAGTGATCAGAGTCTCCCTATGAGATATCACGGAACTGGTATAATGTCTCTAATGTAACTAAAAGAACGTTTAATAATAACTATCTCCTGTACGACTGCGCCAAGCGGCTAGAGAGGCATGAAAAACCCCTTTAACAAATAGAATTACAGAATGCTGCTTTCTGGATTCAAGAAACAGTTTGCCGCACCACAGTCGAGAGATGTCTGAACCTTTCTTTAACAAATAAAACATAACATACTGAAAGACATGAGAAAAACATTGTCTGTATTCACTGAACACAGCGCAGACATATAGGTTATTTCATTTAGACAACATCAAATATGAATACCTTAATGTTTTATCAACACAAGCTAATGGGTTTCTCAATACATGTGTTTGCACTGTACGGCAGTGCTTCTTAACTTAATGCACAGTTTACCTTTCCACAAATTAACTTAACCACAAGTCATTCATATTTTAAAAAGGGAGAAGATAGACCAATGAAATTCAAACAAGGCTTGAATCATAGTAGTTATAGCGAATCATAGTAGTTATAGTTGATAGGAAATGCCATGAGGAAAGCTTCACAAAATCAACAAAAAAAATTTAATAAACTCATGATACAATTCGATTGGGGTGAAAGATGTCTAGAGATAAAGATCGAGTTTTGAACAGCAGTACAAAAAAAAAAAGAAAGATCAAATAGCACTAGAGTGAGGAATGTAATAAGAAACAGCTGGTTTGAATTGCATCACAAACACCCTGCTGTATGTCAATTATTTCACTTCACATCACACTACAAACTTGTACAAAACACATTCTTGCCAGAAAAGAAAATTTTGTAGTAAAAGAAAAATGTTTCAAACTCAAATCAACTACTCAGTGTAAAACACCACCATATGCCACTGTGAAAAGTGACGTAGAACGAAGTCTTACATTGAGCAGTCAAAATGAACGTTTCAGCTAAATTAAATGATACACATTAACAAGGTGATCAGTAAATCAACATTTATTTGACATTTTTTTCCCATTGCAAAAATGTGAGCCTTCATTCTTTGGAAAAACATTCATGGAGGCAAGCAAAAATCTGGCAAAAATACACCATAACATTATCTTCAGTTGAAGAATGGGTATTTGCAGACATAAATGCAGCTGCATCAAGAATGGTGGGCCATGGAGTAATGAGGCTGTACAGCACCACAGAGTTATAACCCAAAAGCCTCAATATCGAAGACTGCATAGTCTTTGTAGAGAGAAGGCATAGAAACATGCATTCAGAAGCAATAGTAGCCTCCACCACAGTCCGCCATATCTTCATCAACACGCTCTATTCAATGACTATAATTAAAATGCAAAATACAATAGTTGCACTATTCAATTGAATCATGAACAATCAATTCATTCAACTTTTTTTTACTCGGCTCTCATTCGAAAATCGCTACAAATGTAACGAATTCATTCAGGACTGAAAATAAAATAACATATCACAATCAATCATAACGAAACAGAAAGAGGGAGCTGACAAAAAAATATAAAAATTAGACAACAAGTACAAACAAAATTAGTCGGGCACAGGTAGATCGAACATGTCGGGGACTGACACATGTGTTCAACACACCCGTAATTCGAGTATACCATTCAACCATGATAACAAAAAATAAAAGAGATATTGAAGAAAATCAAGGAAAGTATCTGTGAAGGTACAATGGTCGGAAAATAAATTGTATCCGGTTTTGATAAAAGGATTGAAAGATGGATATTGTGCGTACCTTGTTCAGTGCAGAAGAAAGAAAAAGGAGGAAGGTGATGCGGATGAGCCCCAGGACTAAGAAAAGAAAATGTCAAACGACAGATTATGATCATGACGATGTAACCAACAATGGTCAGAGCATGCAAACTACCCCTTTTGTGTAATCACTTCCCAATCATGATCAAACAACCACACACACATACACAGTTCACACACACATACACAGTTCACACACACATACACAGTTCACACAATGTACAGCAGTTGCAAGCGGCATAAAACACTTACCAAACCAAACAAAAAAAGTGAAGAAATTTGTTTACACTACATCCATAGTTGGTAAAACAAAACAACAGTTGCTTACTGCAAACTGCTCACAGCATGACACTGATATGAAAAGCAAAGAATCTCTTCAGATAAAGGCGCTATGTAGCTCACTTTAAATACTGCTAGTCTCATTCTTAAAGAAGAAAAAAATCCACCCAGAGAACCCCAAATTCTACATGGGCTACACTGGCTACCATTTAAAAGCAGTATCATGTCCAAATATTTATGTCTTTTATTATAAATGTTTAGATAATATTGCACTATTCTAACTCTCAAACACTCTTCAAAAGTATGCACAAGCAAGATGTCTGGGGTCGTCCAGAATGATATAATTTTACTTAAACCATTAATGAAGTACAAATTCTATGGGCAGTATTTCTTTTCGCATTATGGTCTTCTGATGTGGAAGGATTTACTCACTCACACACACACACAGAGGGAGAGGGAGAGGGAGAGGGAGAGGGAGAGGGAGAGGGAGAGAAAGAGAGAGAGAGAGAGAGAGAGAGAGCGAGAGAGAGAGAGAGAGAGAGAGAGAGACAGAGAGAGAGAGAGAGAGAGAGAAAGAGAGAGAACTGCAGCACAATATAAGGGCTCACACCAGCACCGAGGATCACGATGTCTCTTCCGTTGGGTCCGCTATATCCTCTTCCTTTTCTTGACAAGCTGCATCCTCAGCCGCTGCGGTTTTATTTGAGTCATCCGCCACCTCATCCTCTTTCTTGGACCTCTTGAAAAAACCTTTCACCTTACTCAACAAACCTTTTCGTTGGCTTGGATCAAGCTTGACAAAGCTGCAAAGGAATATAATAAAAATATGAGTGGCATTATGAAAATAAGAAAAAGAAAGAAGAGACGAAAAGTTGACAACGCAATCTAAATTTAAAGACTGAACAAAGTTTTTGGCAAAAGCCAGTTCCTCCGCAAGAGAAACAGAATAGGCTGCACAAAGCAACAAATTTTTCTAGACAACAGGATAGTTTATTGTTACCTATAAGAGTTGTTTTAAATCACAAATATATTTACACTGAATTTTAATATTTTAACATTTTAGCATTTCAAAGTCAATTAGTTAACCAATCGTGCTGTAAACTTTTGCGAAAGTAAACAATTTGTGTTTCGCGCGCTCATATGACCTTAGCAGTTGCGAGCGCCGTAAAACCCTGTACTACATACATGCATACAACAGGATAGGAGGTCAAAGGAGAACAATTTAGAGAAAAAAATATTTTTCTCCTTTGCAGGTTTCAATCCAAAGAACTTTAGACAGAGAGGTGAACACTGTACTTTTAGACTATAAGAGCCCCATATTCAATAGTCAATATGAGAATGACACTCTTGCAATAATACAGCAAATGCAGGTCTAAATACCTTCAAATACTTTGTATTTATATCAAGACCTCTGAGAGCAAAAAAAAGTTACATCCCAACACAAGAGAGAGCTTAGTCTTACCGACGGGTGGTGAGGTTGTGGATACTGCCAAAGGCAATAGCAACCACTGTGCAGGCCAAGCAGATGACGTTGTACGGCATGGAGAAGTCAGGGGTGGGCAGAGAGACCACCAAGCTCTCTGAGTGTACACGGACTAAGTAAGACGAAGAATTGTCATTCAGGCTGAGGAAAAATAAAGAGGGAGGCAGCTCAGAGCTAGATTACTTGAACACCTGGGCTTGTGACCGTGAATTTCTCAAGCTTGAGTATTTATTAACTCCTACAAATGAAAACCTGTGACCATGAATTTCTCAAGCTTGAGTATTTCTTAACTCCTACAAATAAAAACCTGTGACCGTAAATTTCTCATGCTCAAATATCTCCCTCACAATTCCCACAGCTGCAACGACAAATTTTGGGATACAGAAAAGACTCAGAGTATTGCAAATTCCACAGTAGTCTATGTGTACAGTTTAATACAGCTTTACCTGAGCTTTCCTTAACCCTTTAACAGATCCATGCCACAAGTACATAATACCTGACCTACATCATTTTGACTCCCTCAGAAATGGAAACATTACTGCCTGACTTTTGAAATTGCAGATGTTAGTCTTCAGAGTTAAAGACAGACCAGACAGGTATGTATATGTGGTCATCTTATATTATACATTAAAACTGAGTAAAAAAGGACACCAAACTGACAAAGTTTGATATAACACAAAACCCTTACATGGTATCAAGCTTGGAGAAATAGAGAGGTGGGGCACTGTACTGTCGAGATGTTGGAAGCATGGAGGATATCACGGCAGAGCCGATGTAAAATCCGTGATTCGCATCTGGAGGGTACTCGGTCCACTTGAGGAATGCGCGAGTGAAAGAGAAGCTGACACGAGTCACAGAGTGAGGCCACAGGTTGAACGAGAGCTCGAGATGGTAGGGGCGGACGCGGTCTTTGGCTGGTGTGAAGTGGACTTTGACTGAAAAGGAAAGCGCAGTCAGTTGTGTAAGGTTTACAACACTCGCTGTCAATTTTCCAAACATGATGCAGTCATGAGGGTGGATGACACATAGTCATTAAACGGCTTGAAAGAAATTGAAAAATTGAGGAAAGAGAAATTATCCGCGATGTGAAGACCAAAATGCTGTAGAGTATTTGTAACTGCTGCTTCATCCACAAAAAGTCCCATTGGAAATTTATGGGGAATGAAAAAATATCTCAAAAAAGATTACACAATGATTTCAAAGAATCAAAAGTCATTTATGCGAATATTTTAAAAACATAATTTTTTTCAAAGTCTTCCTGTATTCTGTTGGCCTGAAACCACTCCAGTTTGGTTGCAGCTGTGAAGGGTTGAATCAACATGAATTAATTATCCTAAAAAAGCACTATTCTAGACAGTAACAGTTCTCCATCAAGTTTCCAGGCAGTCAAGTATGACTTCATACATATTTTGCAAGGAACATATTAAGACCAAAAATCACCAACACAGAAGACAGAAGGAACATGTAACACACCAGTACCAACCAACCACAAGCCTGTATCAGAAGGGCACCAAGAAAGCAAAACAACACTCTAACAAAATAAAAAGCGCAAACACTCACAGGGCACATCTAGACCATTATTTTGAACCGTCAAGGAGTTGAAGAAAACTCGGGTGAACCAGGGTAGCACATCCATGTAGATCACAGTCTGATTCCTATCCAGAGTGTTGGTGATCAGACAGCTCACACCTCCGTCCTCTAGACCATACCCTGCAGAGCCAACAACAGAGGTGAGTCAAGTCATAAGGAAAATTGCCTCTCTGCCCAATGATTGTTCTCTATTACTTAATTAATTCTCTTCAAACAATAATTGGGCATAAAGCCTCCATCATAAATCATCATTTCTTTCTCAAACAACTGTAACCAGACCTGCCACTCTATGAAATCTCAAAATCAGGATCTCAGCAGGGAAAAAATCGGGATTTGGTCAAAAATAAAAAAACCCAACAGGATCAACAGCAAATCACCACGGTGACTACACAGACTTACACATTTTTCGGGGGTGTCCATAACTGTAAGCCCTTTGTGCGTGTTTGTTTGTTTGTTTCAGTGTGTGTGTGTGTGTGTGTGTGTGTGTGTGTGTGTGTGTGTGTTATATTATTATTTTTTTTAAATCTTGAAGCATCACGTCAAGCACTCATAGTCCAAGTGTCTAACCCTCCCCCCACCCCCCACCAGTAACAAACAAATCTCCACAAGTCCCAAAAGACACTAGAACCAGCGTGCATGAACTTAAGTTGACCCCATCAACGGACGGTCCCCTACACACGTGGAACTCATACCCCAAAGTCATGTCACGTAATGCGAACGGGCCATTGAAAGTTTTATTGACCAGCTCGGTATACCGGGAGCCCATTGCGGGTCGGGCCGATCGCCCTACTCGTCGCCAGAAAACAAATGCGTTTGTTTTTGAGGCGTGATCGGCTTGTGCCACAATAGCCGCTTTGCGCCCTCAATCTGGCTAGCAAACCGACCCGACCCGATCCCCCGATGGGCACCCAACCACTCAGACAAGCGACAGTCGTTCTAGGCTAATGATAACGGCCGACTAACCGAATGTACCAACAAATCCCTTTTCCCTCATAGGCATTCAGACCAAGGCGATGACAACGGCCAAGTTTTAGTTTAGCCAGCCCAGTCAGTTGTGTAAGGTTTAGAATGACTTTCGCTCGTCTGAGTGTTTGGTGTGAACACACGGTCACTAGACCTCGGACGACGCTTGCTTTGAAAGTAACTGCAAAACTACCAATATTATCGATTATTTGTATGTCGCAGTTGTCACAGTTATAAGGCTATCATCGGAGTATTCTGAGTGCGGGCAAAGTTCAAACACATCTTGGAACAAGTTAGCTACTAAATCCGGCATCGATATTTGGGAAAATAATGCTCCGAGTTCCTATCGACATAAAGTAAAATGGGTGCTTCCCAAAATAGAGAAGAAGGCAGAGTAAGTCTTTCGAAAAATCCGGCGCAACAGTAGACTGGAACAAAAATTCAGGACACATGTGATGAAAATTGGGATGCTTGAGATTAGGGGCAAAAAGTTGGGATATCCCCACTAAATTGGGATGAGTGGCAGGTCTGTGTAACTAAAAATAAGTACCAAATTTCACTAAAACTCAAATTTTAGCAACTCAGAATCTTAAAAAAAGACCTATATTAGCATTTTCCACCTGTGATGTATCTGTGCGCATGGATGGGTGGTGGGTCCAACTCTTTCACTTTCGACGGGTCATTATATGTGCCTGCTATGTTCAAACCACGGCCAACTTCAGTAAAAGAGCGTACATTATAGACTGAATATGTGTGCTGCCCAGTGCCTCTGGTCACTGTGTGAGTCCATGTTGGTGTGGGTGTCAGTCTATACGCTGGAGATGCCTGTGGAATAGAATCACACATAATAATCAAATATCGCACCAGACTGAAGAAAAAGAATGTTAATAGACAATACGAAAAGTTTTCTGTTTTAAGGAAATAAAATATTGGAAAAAACCGTACACATCAATAAAACAGAAACCAAAAGTCCTTTATTATTCACAGAACAATAGAAATATAATATCTTCATAATGTACTTTTAAAGCTTAAACTGAATTATTAGTTGAACATGTATTATCTGAACAGGGAAAAGGGGGCTCTTGTGGCCTAGAGGTTAAGGTGTTCGCCTCTTATTCAAAGGTCCCAGGTTCGAATCTGGGTAGCGACCAAAAAATTTTCTTCTCTAAATTTGTCTCCTTTCACATCCTTTCCTACTTTCTAGCAATGTTCTTTCGTCTGCTTTCGTCTCCTCTTTCTGCCCCCCACCCCTTCACCTCCTTTGCCCCCTCCTGTGGGCTCCTGATTCTTTCTGCAGCCTTTCTACTGCTACTCATTGGCTTCTTCTTACTGCTGTCTTTCAGCCACACCCTGATCTTCTGGTAGGAAAGATCTACACCTAGCCTTCTCGGACAAGGGCGAAAAATCTCGGAGGTCCCGTGTGAAAGCTGTGCAAGTTAAAGATCCTTTGGTGGTCTAAAATCGATAAGAGTAGGCTTCGGCCGCCACCCGGGCAAAATTCAAAATTTCCTTCCAACTGAAAAAGTTTAGTGCGTCCCGCGCGCTCATACGACCTTATGCAGTTGCGAGCGCCGTAAAACACTTACAAAAACAAAAAAACAAGAACAGGGAAAAATTTTGACACCAAAATCAAAATCTCCAAAATTAGTTAATGTAATGGGTAGATATTTTTCAAATAATACTTTAGTTTATACCTATTCCATCTAGGAAAACAAAATGTACTTATTTTCACAATCACACTAAAAGAAGGTTGTATCTTGCTCAGTGGTAGCTTACCTCATTGTCAGTAGTTTCAACCATAATACTTGTCTTACTAGCAATTGGGCAAGCAGACGCCAGGTGGTTACCAAAAAGACTTCTGAGAGACCAATCTGAGCAACACGAAAAGCAAAACATTTGTAGACAATGGTGGAAAAAAAAAGTCGTCGTCAAAAAAAGGCCGTACGGAGGTACATTGGATGGGGCTCAATAAACAAACACATACAAACATACATTGACGATCCTAAATCAAGAGAGAGAGAGAGGGGGAGAGAGAGAGAGAGAGAGAGAGAGAGAGAGAGAGAATGCAAGCTATACAAAAGTGCACAAAACAAGTAGGACATAAAGGCAGAGTCACAGAGATCAAATTTAAGGATAATGGGAGTGCTTACTTTGGGTGTCAGCTCCAAGACAAAATAGATACACACAAAAAAAAACCCAAAACAAAACAAAGCTGAAAGAATGTAGGCTAAAAAAAACGAAAGGAAAGAAAAGAAAACGAAACAAAAAATGAGATGAAACACATTAACGTGTACTTGAACCTTCGTATTGATGGCAACAGAATCCGGCACAGCACGAAATCAATGCTTATTGAGGCGTCGTATAAAAGTAATCTGATCAGATATGATGTAAGATCTGACATTTAGAATTCTTT